ATTTTTTGTATTTTTAGTAGAGACGAGATTTCACCATGTTGACCAGGATGGTCTCGATCTCTCGACCTCGTGATCCACCCGCCTCAGCCTCCCAAAGTGCTGGGATTACAGGCGTGAGCCACCGCGCCCGGCCTTTTTTTTTTTTTTTTTTTTCTTGAGTAACAGTCTCACTCTGTCTCCAGGCTGGAGTGCAATGGGGCGATCTCAGTTCACTACCACCTCTGCCTCCTGAGTTCACGCGATTCTCCTGCCTCAGCCTCCCGAGTAGCTAGGAGTACAGGCATGCACCACCACGCCTGACTAATTTTTGTATTTTTAGTAGAGACAGGGTTTCACTGTGTTGGCCAGGCTGGTCTTGATCTCTTGACATCATGATCTGCCCACCTCGGCCTCCCAAAGTGCTGGGATTACAGGCCTGAGTCACCGCTCCCAGCCTCTTTTTTTTTTTTTTTTTTTAAGTAGAGATAGGGTCTTGCTATGTTGCCCAGGCTGGTCTCAAATTCCTAAACTCAAGGGATCCTCCCTGCTGGGCCTCCCAAAGTTGCTGCAATTACAGGCATGTGCCACTGAGCCTGGCCATGCCTTTAACTCTAAGACAAAGGTGGTAACAGTCCCTTCCTGAAACTAATCTTTGCTGAGGGATGGAAACTGCCTCTGTCAAACCAGTAAAAGGCCACGAGGCTGGGATTATGGGAGGGGCCTGAATTCTATTAAAATGTAGGTGTAGTTCGGCAGGGAGAGGTAGCAGGTCACTAGTTCAAGAGATCGAGACCATCCTGGCCAACATGGTGAAACCTCGTCTCTACTAAAAATACAAAAATTAACCGGGTGTGTTGGCACGCACCTGTAGTCAAAGCTAGTTGGGAGGCTGAGGCAGGAGGATTGCTTGAACCTAAAAAACAGGTTGCAGTGAGCTGAGATCAAGCCACTGCACTCCAGCCTGGTGACAGCAAGACTTTGTTAAAAAATAAACAGCTAAGCTGGGCGCGGTGGCTCACGCCTGTAATCCTAGCGCTTTGGGAGGCTGAGGTGGGTGGATCACCTGAGGTCAGGAGTTCAAAAGACCAGCCTGGCCATCATGGTGAAACCCCACCTTAAAACAAACAAACAAACAAAACCCAGCCATTGTCCCATAGCTTGCCTTTCTATAATTACTTACTGCTCGAGAATCATGTAATCCCAGAACTTTGGGAAGCTGAGGCAGGAGGATCTCTTGAGTTTGAGACCAGCCTGGGAAACGGAGTGACACCCCTGTCTCTACATGAAACAATTAGACATTCATGGTGGTGTACTCCTGTAGTCCCAGATTCTTGGGAGGCTACAATGGGAGGATCCCTGGAGCCTAGGAGGTTAAGGCTGTACTGAGCTGTGATTGAGTCACTGCACTCCAGCCTGGATAACAGAATGAGACCATCTTACTAATAATAACAACAATAATAATAATAATTAGGCTCATGCCTGTAATCCCAGCACTCTGGGAGGCTGAGGTGGGTGGATCACTTGAGGTCAGGAGTTTGAGACCAGCCTGGCCAACATGGTGAACCTTGTCTTTCCAAAAAATACAGAAATTAGCCGGGCATGGTGGCAGGCACCTGTAATCCCAGCTACTTGGGAGACTGAAGCAGGAGAATCTCTTAAACCCGGAAGACAGAGGTTGCAGTGAGCTGAGATCGTGCCACTGCACTTCAGCCTGGGCAGCGGAGCAAGACTCTATCTCAAAAAAAAAAAAAAAAAAAGAAGAGGGCCAGGTGTGGGATCATGCCTGTAATCTCATCACTTTGGGAGGCTAAGGCAGGTGGATCATGAGGTCAGGAGATCGAGACCATCCTGGCCAACATGGTGAAACCCCGTCTCTACTAAAAATACAAAAATTAGCTGGGTGTGGTGTCATGAGCCAAGAGTTCCAGCTATTTGAGAGCCTGAGGCAGGAGAACCACTTGAACCCAGGAGGTGGAGGTTGCAGTGAGTCAAGATGACACCACTGCACTCCAGCCTGGCGACAGAGCAAGACTCTTGTTGGGAAAAAAATAAATGAGATAACAGGAAAACAGGTAGGAAGGGTCTTAAAACAAAGTCCTACCCCAGGCCGAAGGTCCAGAGACCAGGCTGCCTTTCCAAATCTTATGACGGTGACATAAGCCTGGGCTTCGTGACAGGCAAACACAGGTAAAGGGTGGTGCAATTCTTCTGGGTGGTCCCTCAGAGGAGGGTGGTGAGGCTCTGCTATACTGGTGGAGAGGTGGGGGTTCCAGGTTCTGGAGCTAATATCTTGCCATTCTTTTTTTTTTTTTTTTTTGGGACAGTCTTGCTCTGTCACCCAGGCTAGAGTGCAGTGGTGCGATCTCGGCTCACCGCAACCTCCACCTACTGAGTTTAAGGAATTCTCCTGCCTCAGCTTTCTGAGTAGCTGGGATTACAGGCTCGCACCACCACACCCAGTTAACTTTCGTATTTTTAGTAGAAACAAGGTTTTCCCATGTTGGTCAGGATGGTCTCAAACGGCTGACCTCGTGATCTGCCTGCCTTGGCCTCCCAAAGTGCTGGGATTACAGGCGAGAGCCACCATACCCAGACACGTCGTGCCGCTCTTACCAATTCCTTTGGGACCTGTGGCTGAAGGATTTGGAAGGACTGCTTCCAAGTAGCGCTTGGGCCACTGAGGGCTGATTTGCCACCTTTGCCAGACTGATGGAAGGGTCCCTGAGGACCCCAGGAGGGGACTGATGGTGCTGGACAGGCAGGCACTTCCAGGCAGCCTGTGAGCTTCTGTGCCTGCCAAAGGCTTTGCCACAGCCACTCCAGATGAGGTGGCCCTCCCTCTGCTGCATGCTAACAGCAACCCGAGCTGGCCTTTGCCAGGCCTTGGGGGAAACTGGGACCTGGCCTGGAAGGGGCGCTGCGGTCACTATCACTTGAACGTTCAAGGAATAAGGGTCTTATTTTACCCTCACAGGGGGTGATGGCTGCAAGGCACCGGAGATGCACAGTGCCGACCTGGACCTGCTTGCTTTGAAGACACGAGCCTTACGGACAACTAGACCAAGAAACCGCCCCCAAAACACAAGCCTCCCATGTAACCACCACCAAGAATTTATTTTTTCTCAGAAGTCAATAAATAAACCTCCTATTCCCGTTGGACACAAGGAGTCTGTGGAGGGGTGTGAAGGGAGGAGGCTGCTGCTGCTTCCTGGACTGTGTCCAGGGGAGGGAGTCCAGCAGGGCTGGCTCAACCTCCGAACTGGGTGCGGAGTCGGATCTCCATCCTGAGGAAGGCCTTGAGGTTCTCATCAGCCACGTGTTCCTCCAGGGCAGCCAGGGCCCGCTCCCCGCCATCCTGGAAGTGCTGCAGCAGCCTGTCCGCATATTCCACCCACACGCAGCTGGGGCAGCCACTCATGCAACAGTTTGTGGGTGGCTGAAGTTCGGGTGGCAGAAGGTCCTGGGGTTCTGAGGGGCCCCTGCTGGGCAGCGCAGCCTTGGGCGGCCCAGTGCCGTCCACACCTGCTTGGGAGCCCACCTCTGCATGGTCTGCCCCGAATTCTCTGCGGCCATGAGGGGCTTGTGCTCTGGGATGGTGCCTTTGAAGCAAGCTGCCACCTCCAGGAAGTCTCTGGCAGCAGTCCTGGCTGGTGAGCCGGGGAGCCCCCTGAGGATGCAGACAGACATGTGATTCTCCAGGAAGCTGGTGAGGCCTTGTCTACCCTCAGCTCTGGGGACATGGCAGCTCTCACGTCATTGGGCAGTGGCTGCATGTCCTTCTCAGCTTTTCACTTCCTGTGACTTTAGACATTTTTTTTTTTTTTTTTGAGACGGAGTTTCACTCTTGTTACCCAGGCTGGAGTGCAATGGCGCGATCTCGGCTCACCGCAACCTCCGCCTCCTGGGTTCAGGCAATTCTCCTGCCTCAGCCTCCTGAGTAGCTGGGATCACAGGCACGTGCCACCATGCCCAGCTAATTTTTTGTATTTTTAGTAGAGATGGGGTTTCACCATGTTGACCAGGATGGTCTCGATCTCTTGACCTCGTGATCCACCCACCTGGGCCTCCCAAAGTGCTGGGATTACAGGCTTGAGCCACCGCGCCCGGCGACTTTAGACATATTATTTCACCTCCCTGGATTCGGTTTCCCCACTGTGAAATGGAAGTTATGAGTATGACACGGTGTGACTGATTCACGAGGAGGGTGGGGACCAGGGCCTGGCGCCGGGTGTGCGCTCCAGCAGATGGTGGGTGGGTCGGGGAGGCGCTTGCCACCTGCAGCTAACACGGCTGCTCTGTGGGCAGTAGGGGGAAGGCGTAACCCTGCAGGCTCCTGGCCAGCGCACCCTCTCTTTACCAGTATAGCCGAGCCCCGCCACCCTCCCCTGAGGGACCACCCGGAAGAATGGACCACCCTTGATCCGAGTTTCCCTGTCACAAAGCTCCGGCCTCTGAGGTGCCTCATCCCAGCGTGAAGGTTCCCTCCCTCCCCCGCTGTCCACCCAGGATCACCGCCTAACCCGCTACCCACTTCGTTTATTTCTCTAACTGATCCTGCGAGGAGCATCCGCTCCCCGTCCACGGCCAGTCCCCACAGCCTAGGAGGGCCGCACGCCGCAGGCGCTCGGCAGATGCCGAGGAACAGCGACGTGGCCGTCCACCGGGCTGCTTCCCCTCCCGGGGCTAAGAGCCCTCCACAGACTCGGGAGCGGAGGCTCGGCGAAGTGGATGGAGGAGAGGGGCGCGGGCCCCTCCGGCGGGCGGCCAGCGCGCGGTCCTCCCGGCACGCGCGGGCCCCCGGACAGCGGCCTCCCGCACGCGCGGGCCCCCGGACGTGCCCTTCGGCGCTGCCCAGACCCCTCCCAGGTACTTGCCGATCCACGGGCCGCCACCGCCGCCGCGGCCGCCCAGCCTCCCCCGGCCACGCTCCGCAGCAGCATCGCCCGCGGACGGCGTTCCGGAACCCCGAGCCGTGAGCGGCAGCTGCTCCGGCCAATCCCAGACCTGCAGACCGTCGCGCCGCTCCAGCCAGCGTGGGACAAGCGCAGGAAGCGGAAGTGCCGATCGTGGGGGCGGAACCGTGCGGGAAGGCGGAAGTGGCTTCGCCAGAGAAGGTCCCGGCGTGGAGATGGGGAGAGCTGGGCGCAGAGCGGCGGCGTCCAGGCCGCCGGAGGGTCCCGAGAATGCTCGGCGGGCGCAGCGACGGCAGCAAGTGCAGCCGCTGGGGAAGCAGCGCACAGCCGCGTGGCCCGGGCTTCGCAGGTGAGTGCGCTGCCCCGCGAGGCCGCTGCCCTTCCCCGGAGAAGGGGACGGCTTGAAGGCTCCTCCCGGGAGCCCCTGGGGAGCGTTCGCTCCGACCCCTTCGGTGCCCTCCTCTGTGCTCGCGGCCCGCGCTCCGCCGGGATCGGTCGAATGAATGGAGGCGCGAGCGAGTCCCTGGTTTTGCTTTTCCCGCGTCCCGGCGGACGGGCCTCCTGGGCTTTCGGAGCGCCTTTCGGTCTCCTGTCCCGTGAAGAAGCGCGCTTGGGCTTGTTCAGGGACAGCCACCGGGTGAGACCGAGAGGAAAGATCCTTGTTCCCTGCGGTGGCTCGCACCACAGCAGCCAGATGCGGCCCTTGCAGATTCTATTGCCAGACCCAACTTCCGTTTCTCTTATTCTGCTTATGCTTTACTTGGGACGAGTCTCACCCCGGTGTTTTTCTTCCCAGCAAAGAGAAGAAGAAAGTGAATTGCAAGCCTGAGAACCAGGACGAACAGGAGATCCCTTTCCGGCTCCGGGAGATTATGAGGAGCCGCCAGGAGATGAAAAACCCGATCAGTAACAAGAAAAGGAAGAAAGCGGGTGTGTGCAGGCCCATGCTGGGTGGCAGTGAAGCTTTGTGTGTCTCAACCCCCGCGTCACACAAATGTTTCAGAACGTTTCAGACAGAGGAAGTATGCCAAGACCTAGTGCTCAGACGGTGGGGGAGCACGGCCACAGCCAGAGCAGCGGGTGGCACTGTGATTCCGGAGGAGGCTTGGAAGGAGGCTGTGCGGTGGGCGGGGAAGACCTGTTACGGGACCTCAGGAGCCGTGCTAAGGAGCGTCGTTTTTTTCCTCCCAAAAGTAGTGAAGATCCATCAGAGTTTTTAGTATAGCGTGGACAATTCATGTTTACCTTAAGCAGTAAAAGATCACTGAGTGACGATGGAGTGAGCGAGAGTGGACCTGGCAGCTGGGGGGCTACTGCCAGGGAGAAGCCATGATTCTTGGGACGAGAGTGCTGAAGCCATGGTAGATAGATGCGGGTGGAGTCAGGAGCTGAAGGAGGAAATTCCATCAGGCAGGCCCCTCTGAGAAGTCGGCCTTTCTCTCCCAAGTCTAGGTCGGATGCCCACATGTGCACTGCTGAAGCCCAGAGGTAACACTCTGGGCACTGTGGCGAGCGGTGTCCAGTGTGTGTGTATTTTACATACAGACACATTTATTTTCCCAAATGTGGGACTAGTTTTACAGCAGAGCTGTTTATAATTTGTGTATAGATGGTAGGCTTCTCATCGGGGGTTGTATGGCTGCCAAGGGGATGGCGAGATAGAGGTGAGGAGGGCGTGGGAAGGAGGCGCACTGGCCTGGCTGGTGGATGGCACATTCTGAACCGTGCTGCATTGAATCCATACCTTTTTTTGTGTATTTATCTATTTTTTGAGATGGAGTCTTGCTTTGTCACCCAGGCTAGAGTGCAGTGGCACGATCTTGGCTCACTGCACCTCTGCCTCCCAGGTTTAAGCAATTCTCCTGCCTCAGCTGCCTGAGTATTTGGGATTACAGGTGCGCACCACCATGCCCAGCTAATTTTTTTTTGCGTTTTTAGTAACAGGGTTTCATCATGTTGGCCAGGCTGGTTTTGAACTTCTGACCTCAAGTGTTTTAGTGATTTCCCTACCTCAGCCTCCTGAAGTGCTGGGATTACAGGTGTGAGCCACTGTGCCCGGCCTTTCCTTTGCTTTGCTTTGCTTTTCTTTTTTGAGACGCAGTTTCCATCTACGTTGCCCAGGCTTGAGTGCAGTGGCACAATCTCAGCTCACTGCAACCTCCGCTTGCCGGGTTAAAGTGATTCTCCTATCTCAGCCTCCCGAGTAGCTGGGATTACAGGTGCCCACCACTACACCTGGCTAATTTTTGTATTTTTAGTGGAGACAGGGTTTCACCATATTGCCCAGGTTGGTCTTAATCTCCTGACCTCAGGTGATCTGCCCGCCTCGGCCTCCCAAAGTGCTGGGATTACAGGCGTGAGCTGCTGTGCTCAGCTGGCCTTTTCTTTTTTTTTTTTTTGGTGGGGGGGAGACAGAATCTTGGCTCACTGTAACCTTCACCTCCCAGGTTCAAGCAATTCTTGTGCCTCAGCCTCCCAAGTAGCTGGGATTACGGGACTGTGCCACCACGCCCACCTAGTGTTTGTATTTTTAGTAGAGGCTCGGTTTTGCCACGTTGGTCAGTCTGGTTTCGAACTCTGACCTCAAGTGATCCACTTGCCTCAGCTTCCCAAAGTGCTGGCATTACAGGTGTGAGCCACCATGCTCGGCAGTACTCGTGTCTTCACGTGTCTGTGAACACAGCCACCTGCCTGGCACTGTCCGCCTCCTGTGTTCTGCTCTCACTTGGGTCCTGCGCTCACGTTCACAGTGATGTCGTGGGTCTGCCCAAGTTCCTCTGTGTCGCTCCGCTGGGCTTCCTTCAGCAGCTGTGCAGTGGAGTCTGTGGGTGACAGAGAAGGGGCGGGTGCTGCTTGCCTTTTTCAGCTGTGCTGCAGTGGACATCGGTGACAGGTGCCTCTGGGCTGTAGGGATCGTGTGCCTGGGGATGCCTGGGCTGGGCACTCCAGATCCTCTTCAGCTGCCAGTGTTGGGCCGCTTCCAGCTGACCCTGGTCTCCTCTTCCTGTGGCTTTGGGAGGGGAAATGAGCATGGGCCACCTGCCTGCCACTGTCTACTTCCTGCCTCCTCTGAGGCCTCCCTTTGTCCTCAGCCCAGGTGGCCTTCCGGAAGACATTGGAGAAGGAAGCAAGGGGAGTGGAGCCTGACATCGCCATCCCCAAGTTCAAGCAGAGAAAGGGGGAGTCCGACGGGGCCTATATCCAGCGCATGCAGCAGGAGGCCCAGCACGTGCTGTTCCTTAGCAAGAACCAGGCCACCCGGCAGCCAGAGGTGCAGGCAGCTCCCAAGGAGAAGTCTGAGCAGAAAAAAGCGTGAGTGAAGGTGGGAGGGGTCGGGACCTGCCCCTGGAACAGAAGGGAGGGCACTGGGTCCCCATGATGGCCCTCTGCAGGGACCCCATTTCATAGCCATGGGGCAGCCGCACCCACCCTGCCCAGATTCAGGGAAACCAAGCCGCAGCCCTACTAGTTGGCGAATCAGAGTGTCCAGCTGGGAGCCAGTGAGGGCATGGCCTACAGGAGGCTGTGGAATCTGGGAACTCTGCAGAGACCTTGCTTGGTCCTTGCTTTTCTAAGAAAAAGCACCAGAAGCCCTGCCCCTGCGGGAATCAGCCCTGGGGGATTGGTCTGAGGGTGACACGTACAGGGGTTCTGTTTCAAGTAGGGCCCTTCCTAGTCCAGAAGACTTGAGGGTGCTGGTTGTGCTGGCCCTGCTGTCCCTGCTGTCCCTGCAGCTCTGTGGCATCTCCTCAGCCTGGGCTTCCTCAGCTGTAGAGTGGAGATAGTGGGGCTGCGGTGAGGTTCAGATGGGTTTCTCATTTCATTCCTAGGGATGGTGGCAGCAGGAGTAGTAAGCCCACCACAAGCATTAGTCCTCCTGCCATCCCTGTAGGCAGGATGGGGAGGCAGTTTCAACAGAGGGTTGTTTTTTTTTTTTTTTGAGACGGAGTTTCGCTCTTACCCAGGCTGGAGTGCAATGGCGCGAACTTGGCTCACTGCAACCTCCGCCCCCTGGGTTCAGGCAATTCTCCTGCCTCAGCCTCCTGAGTAGCTTGGATTACAGGCATGTGCCACGATGCCCAGCTAATTTTTTGTATTTTTAGTAGAGACGGGTTTCACCATGTTGACCAGGATGGTCTCGATCTCTTGACCTCGTGATCCACTCACCTCGGTCTCCCAAAGTGCTGGGATTACAGGCTTGAGCCACCGCCCCTGGCTGAGGGGGACTCTTGAAGGGCCTGTTGGGTTCAGAGCCCTCTTTGGTGAGCAGCTGTGGGTTTTGGGTGGTAAGGGCAGCGGGGACTTGGAGGCAGCCACCTGGTCTCAGGTCCCCACTCTCGCACAGGGCATCCCTCGTGAGTGGGACAGTCTCTGCCTCCTCCCTGGTCCCTGGGTAGAAAGAGAAGTTAGGAATATGAATGACACGTGCTTTCTTCCCCAGGTACCAGAAGCGGCGACTAGATAGAGTCCGGCAGAAGAAGGAGGAAAAGGCTGCAGACAGGCTGGAGCGGGAGCTGCTCCGAGGTAGCTCTCCGGAAGCCATGGTGTCAGCGGTGGTCCCAGCGGGGCCTGGGCACAGGCCTGTTCCCCACCAGTCCTGGCTGCAGTGGGCACCTGTGGTCTCCCCCGGGGTCCACAGCAATTAGACTATTGGATGAGTCAGTGTTCTGTGTCCCATCCCTGTGGGAGGGGATGGAGGTGAGTGGGTGGTGGCTCTGGGTGTCAGGACTGCAGTGGCTCTGGTCAGCAGTCCTCCATTGTACTCTGCCCCTCCAGACACGGTGAAGTTTGGTGAGGTTGTCCTGCAGCCCCCAGAGCTGACTGTCAGGCCCCGGAAGAGCATAAGCAAGGACCAGGTAAGTGGAGCATGGGGACGACTGAGTTCGACCCCCAGTGTTGCCAGGGAACAGAAGCCTTGGCCAGGCCAGATGCTGTGGCTCACACATGTAATCGCAGCTCATTGAGGCCAAAGCAGGTGGATCGCCTCAGCCCATGAGTTGATACCTGCCTGGGCAACATAGCAAGACCCTGTGTTCAGGGGGGAAAAAAAGCCTTCTGGTGTATGGCCTGAGAGTGCCGCATTCTTTTTTTTTTTTTTTTTTTTTTTTTTTTTTGGAGACGGAGTTTCGCTCTTGTTACCCAGGCTGGAGTGCAATGGCGCGATCTCGGCTCACCACAACCTCCGCCTCCTGGGTTCAGGCAATTCTCCTGCCTCAGCCTCCTGAGTAGCTGGGATTACAGGCACGCGCCACCATGCCCAGCTAATTTTTAGTAGAGACGGGGTTTCACCATGTTGACCAGGATGGTCTCGATCTCTTGACCTCGTGATCCACCCGCCTCGGCCTCCCAAAGTGCTGGGATTACAGGCTTGAGCCACCACGCCCGGCCAAAGTGCTGCATTCTTTATTTATTTTTATTTTTTTTAAAAGATGGGGTTTCACCATGATGGCCAGGCCGGTCTTGAACTCCTGACCTCAGGTGATCCACCCACCTTGGCCTCCCACAGTGCTAGGATTACAGGCGAGAGCCCCTGCGCTCGGCCAGTGCCGCATTCTTGATGGCGGGAAAGTGTTGGAACTATGAGGCTTTCTGTTGCGTCCCCTCCTTTCCCAGCCTGTGCCTCACCTTCCCCTCTCTCCCTCAGCCTGGCAGGAGATTGCAGATGCTGAGGATGCTCCTGAGCCCCGGCGGTGCGTCCCAGCCTCTGGCCGCCTCCCTGGCCCGCCAGCGGATGGTGGGGAAGGAGAGAGAGCGAGCAGTGCAGGCCTACAGAGCGCTGAAGCAGCGGCGGCGGCTGCTGCAGGGGGAGCGACCCCACCGCCCTTCCTGGAAGAAGCCAGAGCCGCAGCAGTGATGGAGCGAGAGCCGGGGCCTGGTCACGCTCCTGGGACACCGGTGCCAGGAGCTGCCACCCCCGGGTTGGGGAGAGGCAAGCAGATGCTTTGCCCTGGCCATGCCAGCAGTGCAGGCTCAGGCCTCCAGGTGCTCGTTCACATGCTGGGCATCAGCAGGGCCACATCTTGCAAGGGGTGGGTGCCTGGTGGATGAAGGCCCTGTGTCGAAGCTCCGTGTCTTTGTTCTGAACGTCCATGCTGAGCAGCAGCACAGGTTCACCTTTGGATCCCATTATCCCGCCCCCGAACACCCGCTACCGAGACAGCTGCTGAGGCTAGCTGGGTGTATGACAGAGGCCCCTGGAGTCAGCAGAATTGAGCGCACAGCACACACCAGGCAGAGCAGGCCAGGAGCAGGGAAGACGCGCCGGGGCAGGGCTGCTGGGCACATCTAGACCACCTGTGAGGGCTGGGCAGGGGACTGTGACTGCAGGCCAGTTGTGAGTGGTCCCCTGCCCAGAGGCTGTTTGGTTGGGGTGGAACCTGATAGCACATATACAAGAAGGTGGGAACGGGGCCTGGGCACAGTGGCTCATGCCTGCAATGCCAGCACTTTGGGAGGCCGAGGTGAGTGGATCAGTTGAGGTCAGATGTTTGAGACCAGTCTGACCAATATGGTAAAACCCTGTCTCTACTGAACATACAAGAAAAAAAACCAGGGGAAACGGTTGTCACCTACATGACAGGGCTCTGAGAGAGCTGGGGAGGCCCAAAGTGGCTCGAGAAGCTAAAGGAAGGATCCTGGTCTGGGCTCGGGGTCACAGAGCGGGGCCCAGGGGGAGTTCCTGCTGAGGGCACGGCCTTGCCAGGCTTCAGTCTCCTTTCACTGCCACAGGAGGGAGCGCCCAGGCTGTCAGCGTCTCCAGATGAGGGCAGGAGGGAGCAGCTTAAACCCAAGTCCCACGTCTAGCAATGGAGTCCGACTGCTGGGCACTGGCTGGGAAGTGAGGAGCCTCTGTACAGTCGCTGCACAGCCCAGTGTGGGATGGCACCTTGTGTGCGATCATTCTGCCTTCCCCAAGTTTGCTTTTCCCACAGTGAAGTTGATTTGTAAATTAAAAGATTTCAGCTGGGGAGGATGCTAAGTCATGGCTGTTCCCTCTTGTGGGCAAGTTTCTGCTGGATGAATGGTTTTGCCACCTGCGATGTACTCGGTCCCAGTCCCAGATCCCAGGCAGCACTGGAGTGGGCGGCCTTTCCCTGGGAAAGGGAGGGGTGGCAGTGGGTGGTGCTCCCACTCGTGTGGTGCGTTTGGTTTTGGGCATCAATATCAGCCACTGTGCGGCTGAGTGAAGGGATTCCTGTGGGGCTGGGACAGCATCCGTGCTCTCCGCTGCATCCACGGTTCTCGGGTTTCTGTTGCTGTTGGAAGGGAAACCCCTGGTGCTTTCTGAGGGTCTCTCTTGCCCAGGCTGGGGTACACTGGCATAAACAGACTCACTGCAGCCTCAAGTTGTTGGGCTCAGGCAATCCTCCCACTTCAGCCTCCTGAGTACCTGGGACTACAGGGGTGCAACAACACACCCAAATAATATTTTCCACTTTTCATATAGATGGGGTTTCACCACATTGCTCAGGCTGGTCTCGAACTCCTGGACTCAAGGGATCCACCTGCTTCGGCCTCCCAAAGGTCTGGGGTTACAGATGAAAGCCACTGTACCTGGCTGTTTTTTGTTTTGTTTTTTTGAGGTAGGGTCTTGCTGTCGCTTAGGAGAGCAGTGGCACACTGGACTTGAACTGCCGGGCTCAAGAGGTTAGCCTGCCTTGGCCTCCCGCAGCACTGGGGTTCGAGGAGAGGCCATCTTGTCCATCCGTTTATCCTTTACCTCTAGAATCTTCAGGAGGAGGTTACATGGACAAAAGTCAGAGCAAACGTTTCTTTTAAGAGGCGAGGGCCGTGGATGGGCCTCCTGCTCTCTCTGCGGCAGTGCTGGTCTCTCTCTATGTAAATGGAAAACCGAGTCTGCACAAAATCTAGGGGTGCTGATGAAACCAGTGATCCAGATGGGAACCTGCGTGTACATACGGGTCTCAGCACCCTATTGTGAAGTAGCCCACAAGGAAGGATTTTCCCAGACGAGCCCAGTCTTCCCCAGTGGCCAACCCTGGCATACATGATTATGTGATTGTTGTTTGAGGAAAAAACTGTATTACAGTTATAATTTCACAGACTGTATGCTATCTGATGACTGTTTAGTTTTATGGGAACTCCAAACCATTAAAGAAAATTCAGGCCAGCCATGGTGTCGCTGTGCCTGTGGGCCGCAGCCACTCGGGAGGCTGAAGTGGAAGGATCACTCAAACCTGAGGGGTCACAGCTGAAGTGAGCCGTGATTGTGCCACTGCACTCCAGCCTGGGCTGTAACAGACCAAGACCCTGCTTCTAAAACAACAAAAAAGAATTCATATCTAGGTGGTACACTTGTGCTGAGAAGAATCCAAAAGCAGAGAGCACTCTGATAACAGCGGTGTCCTTACCAGCTTCAGTTCCCAAAGACTTGGGAGGGAATCGGGCTGGGGGACACGGGCACCGTGGGGGTTGGAGGGTGCCTGGCCCAGAACAGCCACTGAGCACAGGGACCCTAAGGACAGAGGTGGGGGTCTGGGTGACAAGGCCACTCCCTGGCACCCCTCGCCCACCCCGCAGGACACCCCAGTTGACACTCTGGGCCAGTAAAGTTGGGACATCATTTTGGGAACGTGGGTCGTTGAAAGTGGTCTTCAGGGCATAGCCTGTGAGGGCGGGCAAGGAGGGTCCTTAGCCACCCACCCAGAGGCTGTCCTCCCTGTGCTGCTATACCACCCCTGTGTAGGACTCCTGGCTGGACCCCACCCTTGAAAACCGCCAGGGGAGGCGCCGGAGTGTGGCTGCAGGCTCCAGACCACATCGGCTCCACCTACCCAGAACCCAGCTGCCACCGGCACTGGCTGGGAACACAGGCTCACTGCTGCTCCGGGTCTTGGGAAACCTGTACGCCTTAGGACTCATTCAGGATCAGCATGCCCAGCCCAGGTCTTGGGGAAAAGCACTCCTTTCCAACTAGAGAAACGTTCCTCAAAGCAACCTGAGAAGCGCAGCCCATCCACCTCCCCGTACTTTCATGCCCCACAGCAAAAAACATGGTGGGTACATTTTTTTCTTTTGTGCTCTGCTGTCCAGGCTGGAGTGCAGTAGCACGATCTTGGCTCACTGCAACCTCCACCTCTGGGATTCAAGCAGTTCTGTGCCTCAGTCTCCCAGACAACTAGGATTACAGGCATCCGCCTCCACGCCTGGCTAAATTTTTACTTTTGTATTTTTAGTAGAGATGGGGTTTCACCATCTTTGCAAGGCTGGTCTTGAACTCCTGACCTTGTGATTCACCCGCCTCAGCTTCCCAAAGTGCTGGAATTAACAGGCATGAGCCACCATGCCCAACCCATGGTGGGTGTTTCTAGTTATGTCCTGAGCCAAATGTTGAGCTTTTCTGCCCAAGATGGGCAAAATTGTAGGACTGGCAGGGGTGTAACCCGAGGGGGGCCTGGGTTCTCACTGCCCTTGGCCATGGGGCAGGCTGGTCTTGACAAGCAGGGGGATTTTTCAGGGGCAAAGGTTCCCCCACCTAGTCCTGAACACAGCAGGTGCTGGAGTACAACTTGATTGTGTTCTCATGAAGCCGGTGTGGGCCATGAAACGGCCCTAGAGGCTGGACTAAGTACCATTCTGAACATGCTGTGAAACATCCCTGCTAAGTCACAGGAGAATTAGGTACTATGAGCTGCCAGCCTGTTAATGCTCAAGAGCCAGGCTGTGCAGGGAAGACTCAGAACTGGTAACTCTTGCTAACACACATCTGGGGTTTTTACACCCTCAGCTGAAGAACTCAATGAAGTTAAACTTTGAAGAGGTTCTTCTCACACTTGGCCATTTCAGCCAGGTTTCGCTAAAGTCCTCTGAAACTGCGGGAGTGAAAGCCAGTTACCTGGGTCACAAGTTGCTTGTGAAACCTACAAGGACCTGCCGCCAGGGCTCATTAGACCCCAAAGTATGGCACGTTGGCATGTGGTGTACTTTGACCCAGAGGAGACTGGAAGGCCTGAGAAGCCAGATCTTTGTCCTTCCTTCCTGGTTCCTGCCCCTTTTCATCCCCCAAAGTGAGTCACAGAAACCAGACTTCTTTTTCCCCAAGCAGATAATAGAAACAAGGTTTTCCCTGGGTCTTTTGAGTTTTCATTTCTGAAGGCTCCCGTGTCACATAAAATTTTATTTACTTATTTTTTAGAGGAGCCTCCATCTGTCACCCAGGCTGGAGTGCAGTGGTGTGATCTCAGCTCACTGCAACCTCCACCTTCTGGGGCAAGTGATTCTCCTGATTCAGCCTCCCAAGTAGCTGGGATTACAGGCATGTGCCACAATGCCGGATTAATTTTTTTTTTTTTTTTTGAGACAGAGTTTCGCTCTTGTTACCCAGGCTGGAGTGCAATGGCACGATCTCGGCTCACCGCAACCTCCGCCTCCTGGGTTCAAGCAATTCTCCTGCCTCAGCCTCCCGAGTAGCTGGGATTACAGGCACGTGCCACCATGCCCAGCTAATGTTTTGTATTTTTAGTAGAGACGGGGTTTCACCATGTTCACCACGATGGTCTCGATCTCTCGACCTCGTGATCCACCCGCCTCGGCCTCCCAAAGTGCTGGGATTACAGGCTTGAGCCACCGCGCCCGGCCTAATTTTTGAATTTTTTGTAGAGAAGCAGTTTCACTGTGTTGCTCAGGCTGGTCTCTCAAATTCCTGGCCTCAAGTGATCTGCCCGCCTTGGCCTCCCGAAGTGTTAGGATTACATGCAAGAGCCACAACACCCAGCTGTCATGTAAAACACATTTGTCATGCTTTTAGCCCAGGCATGGGGGCTCATGCTTGTAATCTCGGCATTTCGGGAGGCTGACATAGAAGGATCATTTGAGGCCAGGAGTTGAAGACCAGCCTGGGCAATACAGCAAGACACCCCCCCTCATCCCAGCTGTCTCTACCAAAAATACAAAAAATTAGCCAGGTATGGTGGTGCATGCCTGTAATCCCAGCTACTCAAGAGGCTGAGGTGGGAGGACCGACTGAGCCTAGGAGGCTGAGGCTGCAGTAAGCTGTGATCCCGCCACTGTGCTCCAGCCTGAGACACAGTGAGACCTTGCTTCAAATAAGTAAATTTGTTAACGCCTCTCTCGCTCACCTGCATTTTATTCGGAGTGTTGGCTGTCACCCTCGTGAGTGAAAAGGTACTGTATCTTTCCGCCCCATGATACCACCAAGACAGAGACCCCGGTGTCTAATAGCTGCTTGGTAGTGGTAAGGGGCACGGGGAGCAGAGCATGGGGATTCACAAGGTATCTAGGAAGGTGGCATCTAGCAGGGCACAGGCTGTGTACAGTTGAGAGCCCATGGCAAACTAGAAAGCAAGAGACTGGAGCCCAACCACTCAGGCACACACAGGGCTGAGCTTTTCCCTCCATTGAACAAAGACCCCTTTCCCCAAAAGCAGACTGCAGCAGCTTTGTGCTGTAGAGGGTGGTGGGTGCCGTGGCTGAAGGAGCCTAGGCTGCCAGCTATGAAACCATGTTTAGATAATTCACATCTACTCTCAGGACTTTGAGTTTCTGATTCCATTGCTGTAGTCAAATGAGGGTCCCCAAAAGGTGTGTCCAAGTTAAAACCCCTGGAGTAAGCAGAGGCCACCCAGTTTGGAAAAAAAGGGCATTTGCAGATGTAACTAGGAATCATCCTGGATTTCTAGTGACAGATGTCCTTGTAAGAGGAGAGAACACAGAGGCACAGGTGAGCAGCCGTGTGAAGGTGGGCGTGGAAACTGAGGCTCCACAGGCCACAGCCCAGGAGCGTCGAGATCACCACAGCCACTCCGCAGGCAAGGCATGGACGCTCCCTCAGAGCCCCTAGAAGGAAACCACCCTGGGGACACAGCTTCGGGCTCTGGCCTCCAGAACTGCTGGAGTACATTTCTGTTATTTCAGCAGCCTCAGGACACTGATGTGTCAACACTTCCACAAGCTGCCACAGCTGAGAAGTAAAGTCAAGGCAGGACACTGGGGAACCACAGGGACCACAGCCACCATTTCCTGTTGCCGTCTCGGGGCAATACCTGTTTACTGAACAAGTGAACTAGTGAGAATGCCAGCTCTTGTTTCTTTGTTTTTGAGACTGGGTCTTGCTCTTGCTGCCCAGGCTGGAGTACAATGGCAGGATCCTGGCTCACTGCAATCTCTGCCTTCCCATTTCGAGCGATTCTTCTGCCTTCCCATTTCGAGCGATTCCCAGTAGCTGGGATTACAGGCACACACCAACACGTCTAGCTAATTTTTGTACTTTTAGTAGAGACGAGGTTTCACCATGTTGGCCAGGATGGTCTTGAAAACTCCTGACCTCATGATCTGCCCATCTCGGCCTCCCAAAGTGCCAGGATTACAGGCGTGGGCCGTCGCGCCCAGCTGCCTTTTGTTTCTAACTCCAGGCCTGGTTCTGACTACCACACTCACTTCACCTGCCTCGTGCCATCTGTGGGGGAGGCGGGGTCAGGGCACCAGCAGCTCAGGCAGGTTGGAGCTGGTGCTACAGCAAGAAGCCAGGTCTCAGAGGCACTGTGCAATCCACACTCCTTGGGGACAGTTCAGTGGATCTCCTGGCAGAAGAGGAGCCGACCCCAATAGCACCACTCCAGGATGCAGGTCACTCAGCCACCTGCACACCCTGCTCACCCAGCCTGGGGACAGTTTTTTCAGGGGCCAGATGTCAAGAACTTCCATCTCTGCATGCCTCAGTTTACCCATCATGTAGGGCTACGCTGGGTTATTCTGCCCTGTGAGAAGAAAGTATTGGCAGCAAAGCCACACTGCCCTCTGCCTCCTCTCCCCAGCGAGGGCCAGCCACGCAGTCAACCATTGCCTCTGTGGGTGGCCTGGAGCCAGCCTAGCACCCCTGCCAAGCCAGTGCCTTTCCGGGCGCTGATTTCTGCCGTGGTGATGTCCTGCTTGGCACAAGCAATGATGTCTGGAAGCCTGATTAACGACTTCATCTCCTCCGTGGACATGTAACAGGGTAGGTCGCTGCAGTGAAAGAAGTGTCCCATCAGAGCAGTGGCTGCCACACACCTGCCCTGGCCCCCAGCCACACAACCGGCTCCCGGCCGTACTCCTAGGGAGCCCCACCCCCGCCTGCCCCCTCTCAGCTCAGGAACACATACATTTTATTGAAGAGTATCAGCACTGATGCTTTTGCAAGTTGTTCTGCAGAAAGGAGACCTAAGAGCTGCACGCAGGATGCAGAGAGTTGGGTGGGGTCAGAGGCGTCCATCATGAACTGCGGAAAAGAAACATGTCAGCAGCGTCCTGCTGCAAGGGACGGGTCCTGCCAAACCTCCTCCCCTGGGCCTCACAGACCTGACACTGGGAGGGCAAAACAGCTTTTTATTTTTATTTTTGAGACAGAGTCTCGCTCCATCACCCATGCTGGAGTGCAGTGATGCAATCACAGCTCACTGCAACCTTCGCCTCCCAAGTTCAAGCGATTCTCCTGCCTCAGCTTCCTCAGTAGCTGGGACTACAGGCCTGTACTACCACATCCAGCTACTTTTTGGAATTTTTAGTAGAGACAGGGTTCACCATGTTAGCCAGGATGGTCTCAATCTCCTGACCTCGTGATCCGCCCGCCTTGGCCTCCCAAAAGTGCTGGGATTACAGGCGTGAGCCACCGCATCCGGCCCAAAACAGCTTTAAACAAAAGCTTGGGAACAGACAAAACAGAAGCAGAGGGAATCGAGTTTTATGAGGACGACTTGGTGTCCCTCGAGTGTTTCTGTTTTCACTTATATGGAAGTCTCTGTCCTCATGTAGCCATCATTTCTCCATCCTGGAATCTGGGGCACAGGCCTTGTCAAGATGGCCAACCAGAAGCGTGTTTAAATCCAACATAAAACACAGACGTACCGGGGAGCAACACGCAGGGCTGAATGTGTTCTCTGCGGCGCAGCTGCCCTGCCCTCAGCAAGCCCTCCGTGAGCTCTAACGTGGGCCTTCGAGCCCAAGCACCAGAGAAAGCAGACGGGGTGCCCAGCAGGAAGCAACACTAGCGTAGGACCCGTTTCCAGGACTAGTAAGTCACTAAATCACCCAAACCCCGAACTCCGTTCTACACATAGCAAGGTTGGGGAATGGACCTCACAAGAACGTAGACACACTCCTCTAAACGAAGCCCATCTAGGATGACCACCTACCAGAAGAGAGCGGCAGTTTCCATAGTAACTGGACCAGATGGGGCCCATGCACCCGCCCAGCTCCCGGATGGTGATCTTTCTCTGTGCCATGATGTCAGTAAGATTGGTGCCCACCTGTAGGAAAAACCACGATGCAGAGACAACTATACAACCGCTGTCGCGCTGTGAACTCCTCAAGAGCACCGTGGCCACACCTCACACGGCGGCCTGAACCCCGCAGACTCGTTCTCCAAGGCTGCAGTCCGTAAGGCAAGCAGGGACCGACGCCCATCAGTAGCTGACCCGCTGTGGGGGCGACCGGCCACAGGAGCCCGTTGCGAGGAGACGAGTGCCCGTGGAGGGCGGCAGGCCCCTGCCTCCCGGGCCGGGCGTCCTCAGCTCAGTCCCCGACACCCGCCCCGCTCCCGGTCAGGCCCGACCGGCTGCGCCCCGGCGTGCACTTACAGGAGCCTGCAGCGCGGAGCTGACCCCACGCAACGCCACCCGCGGGGCGGACACCTACCGTGGGCCGTGTCGGGGGCGGCTCCCCCAGGTCGCCCTTCCCGTCCCCGGAGCTCACCTGTGCGGAGCGGTTAAGGAAGGACCCGAGCCGCTAAAGGGGGAGTTCCCGCCCCGGCCCGGGCGCCCCCCCGCTCCCCGGTCCGCTCCCCACGCGGGAGGATATCCTGCAGCCGTTTCACCAGCAGCGTCTTTCCGACGCCCGTGGGCCCCAGCAGGAGGCACATGCCGTCCTTCGCTCCGCCCGGCACCCGTAGCTCGGCGCGGCGGCGCAGAGCTCGCCCACCGCCCGCTCTCATTGGATAGGTCCCACGTCCGTGCTGCTGATTGGTTCTTAGGGCTCATCGCTCCAATCAGCGCTCAGCGTCTGCGGGAGAGCGGAAGATCCCGCCTTCTCCCGGTTCTCGGGCCGGCGCGGTGACGTGCGCCTGCGCTCACTGGAGGACAAGGCGGAAGCGGAAGTCGGGGGGCGCGCCAGCTCGGAGCAGGGAGCGCCCGCGGCGTCGGGTCTGGGCTGGAGGTCGCCATGGGGCGAGGCAGCGGCACCTTCGAGCGTCTCCTAGGTAACGCGCCCCCGCCCGACGGCTCGGCCTTAGGTCAACAGGCAGCCCTCGCCCGGCGCTGAGTCAGCGCGGCCCGCGGGGCTCGAGGGGCGCGGACCGGTCGCCGTGCCTGCCTCTCCGTGGCCCACCGTCCTGGGCGCGGAGCCGCTGATCCTGGGCCGTCGGCCTGGCCGTGGGGTCGGCGTCCGTTGGGCGTTGGCGAACCTGCGCGTTGTGAGGTTCTGCGCAGGGCGCCGGGGCGCTCGGGGTACCCGCTCCTCCGCGGGCCTGGGTTTTCGGCAGATTTCCCCCTGACCGACACGCACCCGGCCTAGTAGGCCACAAGGCCTGAGGCGTGAAAGTGGGTGACAGTCGCATGTTATTGGGCTCGCCCTTGGGCTTCTGACCCAAAACTTGGTCCCAGAAGGGTGGAGCTGGCAGTGTCCTTTCTGGGACCTTCGAGTTCTCTTGGGAGCTGTGGGTCCCAGACCCACCTTTTATTCCGACACTGGCTTCTGGAAGCGCCTAATGGTTTAGCAAGGCGTTTTCTCTGGTTTTTTGGAGGTGAAGGCTGATCCTGTCTGAGCCTCCTGGAGTTGACAAGTTTTAGGAGGGAAAATGAATGTTTACCGGCAGTTCCCGGTGGCCCCGTAGTGAAAATACGCCTTGTGTTTGGGGAGAGGTGCTTGGGTGTCCTAATGGCCTGCCCCAAACCTGCCTTTTTGTTAAGTATGGTTTTCAAGGAGAACTCAAATGAGACACCATCCTTGCCCAGGGAATCTGCAAGTGGACTATCTCTGCCTTACGGGTCAGTGCTTCAGGGATGAAGCCAGAGATTAACTACTGAATCAGTGTTGAAAGTGGACGTGGCTTGGCTTGTTAGATTGTTTCTGTTTCTGGGGAAGGCGGTGTGGGCAGAGCTGGAGCTGCTCCTCCGAGGCCCGGTTGTTGGAAGCAGCAGCAGTGATTTGGGGAGCACAGGTATTAGCTGGCGGGTCCTCCTTGGAGGCCCTTTCTGCCCTTATTCCCAAAGCACTTGGAGCAGGGGGACCTGGAGTCTACACTGCAGGCCTCTCGCTCTCGCCTCCGCTAAGATCTCATCGAATGGGGGAGCATCTGAGAGAAAGGGGACTCTGAGGGACAGGTGACAGTGTTCTTTGTTGAGAAGCAGCCAGGCCTGACGTTTAAGAGTGAATCAGCCTCTGTCTGTGGCGAGCTGTGTGACTCAGGGCCGTGCCCTCGCTGCTCTGCTGAGTCTACCTTGCTGGTAGGTTGTGGGAGGGCTTGGACCAGCACCAGGTGTCCTCTCTCTTCTTACGCTGTTCCAGCTTCCCTGGGAAAGGATGGCACTTCCGTGCTCATCAGCTGGCTCAGGAGTATTCTCCTGTAGTTTTTCATTTGGTCCAACCGTCCAAAAGGGAAGCAGGGAGTCCCCTGCCCTGCTGCCGAGCTGGGGTGCTGCATGGGGAGTCCAGCAGGGTGAGCCCCCGCCCATCGCATTTTTCTCCCTCAGACAAGGCAACCAGCCAGCTCCTGCTGGAGACAGACTGGGAGTCCATTCTGCAGATCTGTGACCTGATCCGGCAAGGGGACACACAGTGAGTGAGCAGGGTGGTGCCCGAAGCGGGGAGCGGCCCTGCACAAAGCTGGGCTTGCTTGGTGCCTGTTGGTTCCCCATGATTCAGCTGACCATGTTAGGCTATTTTTTTTTTTTTTTTTTTTTTTTTTTTTGAGACAGAGTCTCACTCTGTTGCCCAGGCTGGAGTGCAGTGGCATGACCTTGGCTTGCTGCAACCTCCGCCTCCCGGTTCAAGCAGTTCTCCTGCCTCAGTCTCCCAAGTAGCTGGGACTACAGATGCCTGCCACCACACCTAGCTAATTTTCGTATTTTTTGGTAGAAACAGTGTTTCACTGTATTGGACAGGCTGGTCTCGAACACCTGACCTCATGATCCTCCCTCCTAAAATGCTGGGATTACAAGTGTGAGCCACCGGCCCCGGCCACACTGGGCTCCTGTGTGGAGAATTGCATGGTCTACGTGCTAAGATTTTTGATGTCTTGGGACATCAAGGTTTTTTTTTCTGTACAGCTTGCAGATACCTGATTATGTTCATATTTGCTTTGGGGTTCTGATGGATTAAAACAGCAGACTTACCTTTTTTTTTTTTTTTTTTTTTTTTTAAAGATGGGGCCTTGCTCTGTCACCCAGGCTGAAGTGCAGTGGCATGATCTCAGCTCACCAAAGCCCCTGCCTCCCAAGCTCAAGCAGTCTTCCCACCTCAGCCTCCCAAGTAGCTGGGACTACAGGCGTGCACCATCACGCCCGGCTAATTTTTTGCTTTTGGTAGAGGTGGGGTTTTGCCATAATGCACAGGCTGGTCTCAGACTTCTGGGCTCAAGCAGTCCTCCTGCCTTGGCCTCCCGAAGCACTGGGATCACAGGTGTGAGCCACTGCAGCTGACAGCAAATGAACTTTTCTCATCTTAGTTGCTGACACTATTTTTTCCCCTTTCTCTTTGCTTTTATCAATGCCGTTTCCCTTTTAGAGCAAAATATGCCGTGAATTCCATCAAGAAGAAAGTCAATGACAAGAACCCACACGTGGCCTTGTACGCCCTGGAGGTAACTAGACCCTGTGCTGCAGAGGCTTCCAGGGGCCCCACCCCTCACTGCTTATGGCAGCATGAGATGAGTTTGCCCTGTGGCATTGCCCACCTTTCTGGGCATACAGCAAGCAGGAGAGTTTCCACTCAGCCTTGGGTGCCAACGTGAGCTGTGCCATGAGGAGGGGGTCAGTCTGATGGAGAGATGGAAAGTGGGGAGGGAGTGAGCACCACTTCTTCAGCTGGTGCTGTGCGAGTAAGCACCGAAAATGGATCTCGTCCCTGTGCTTGGCCATGAGACTTGGCGTTGGAGGGAGTGGTGTGGTGTAGGCTGCTGAGTCTCAGACGCTGCTGTTTGAGGTTCCCCAAAGGCCCAGTGGCCTGACCGGCCTGTTGAAGGCCTGCTATCCCACAGGGAGGTGGATCCGTCCAGGAGGAGGAGGGGCCCCTTCCCTGCCCACCGACCTTGCCTTTCTGGGCTCTGCAGGTTATGGAGTCTGTGGTGAAGAACTGTGGCCAGACCGTTCATGATGAGGTGGCCAACAAGCAGACCATGGAGGAGCTGAAGGATCTGCTGAAGGTGGGTGACACGGAGGGAAGCAGGTGGCCACCTAGGCTGGCACCTCTGCTTCTGCGGGTGTTTCTTGGGCACCTACAACAGGGTGCACTGGGTGTGGCAGAGAACGTGCAGGTGCAGATGAGTGATCCCTTCAGCAGAGCTCAGGGCCTCCACGCACTCACTCATGGGAGAGACTAGGCCATGAGCCCCAGTCCAGGGAGGCAAGGCTTTAGCAGGAGCCATTCTGGGGAGCTGTGTCTGGAGCACCGGGGTGACAGCGATCTTGGGCCTGGGGACAGCTTCCAGGAGGCACAGCTTGGGCATCAGCTGTCCTTGGGAAGGTCAATATATGCTGCTGGGTGGGCATGGCAGTGATGGCTACTGTGTGTGAGGGCGGCTGTGGTCCAGAGGGCAGCCTGGCCTGGACCCACAGACGGGGGCGTGGGAGGGCTCTGAGTGGGGGCCGGTAAGGTCGGATGTGTCTGTGGGGAAGAGGAGCTGTTTTGGAGAGTGGGGGTTTCACGCAAGCTCCCCAGTTCCCTAGGAGATTGTGCTGGGACACCTGCGGCAGGGGTGCTGCGGCGGGTGTCCCCTGCAGTCAGGCTGCTCCCGCTCCGTCCTGCCCTGTGGGCCGGGCCTGAGTCTCTTAGGAGGCTCTACCCTGGACCCACACAGCTGAGAACCTGCCCGGGGATCTCAGTGGACAGCCAGGGCTTTCAGAGCACCTTGGCCAGCTTCCCATCCCATCCTGTCCTGGCTGAGAGTCAGAAGGTGCTGGAGGCTGGAGGCTGGCCCTGCCCGACCCTGGTGCACCTGCGGTCCCCCAGGCTGCAGTTCTTGGGGCTGCCCTTTCCTCTCCGAGGCGGGGCAGGGTTGTGATGGAAGGCGGCGCTGGGGCTGCAGAGGCTCTGGGAAGGAGCTCAGGCCAGGGTGCAAGTGCCCCGTGCCTCTGTGAAGCAGCCTCTCATCCCGTGCCGTCCTCGGTGTCGTACCTCTGTGGCGTTCCTGAGAGGGCTCGATGCAAGGCCAGGCTGCGCTCTGTCCTGGGGAAGCGGTGGCTGCAGGGGTCTTGGCACCCACTCTGAATTTGGAGGTGTCTAGAGCAGCTGCCCTCCCGCATCTCCCAGCTGTGACTGGTGGAGCAGTGCGGCCTGGCCTCACAGCGTCCCCGTCTTCGCAGCCCCAGCACGATGCCACCACTGTCAGGCCTGCCAGGCCCTGCCTGTTGGGGGCTGACGGGAACTGGGGATCACTGGCTGGGTGGGTCCCTTGGGAACGGGAGAGACAGATGGTCTGGGGCACAGAGACGCAGTGGTGTTTGGCTCCAGTGAGCCCCGGTTTTTGGCAGCGGTTAGAAAAGGGCCCTGGTCTTGGACAGGTATAGACAACCATAAGATTTGAACTCAGGGTCTGGGAACAGATGGGTGCACGGCCCCCACACCCCACTCGGGGGCCCTCCCTGGCCTCTCTGTCAGCCCCGTCTGCCTAGAGGCTGAGGTTTGTCAGCCTGGAGTCTTCTGCGACCCTCCCCATCTCCTCCGTGCCTGCAGAGACAAGTGGAGGTGAGCGTCCGTAACAAGATCCTGTACCTGATCCAGGCGTGGGCCCACGCCTTCCGCAACGAGCCCAAGTACAAGGTGGTGCAGGACACCTACCAGATCATGAAGGTGGAGGGTGAGTCCGGACCAGCGTTGGGACCAGGCCGGGGCTTGGGACTGCTGGACAGTCAGGCCGGATGGGCACAGTGTCATGGGCCCTGGGAAGGTGGGCTGCTCCCTGTGGTGGGAGGGAGGAGGGCAGTGGTCTAGAGCCAGGGAAGGCTGTGCGTGTGAGGGCGGGCTCAGACTAGCTCCTGCCTTTCTGGACCCATGGCCCACAGGTGGGGCAGGTGGTCATGGCCGATGACAGGCAGGTGAACAGGCAGCAGACAGCCTGCTTCCGCAAGGCAGGGCTTCTGGGGGACTGAGTTGGGCTGTGCAGTCAGGGAAGGCTGCTGGAGGAGCTTCCTCGAATGTTGAGACTAGAACAGAAGCCAGAGACAGCGTGGGTGCAGACAGGCAGCACGCACAGAGGGCACTCAGCCCTGGGGCAGAAGGGTGGCCGGCGTGCCCAGAGGAGAAAGTGGGCTGGGCCTGTGCGCCGAAGGCCTCCGGGCTGTGGGCCAGAGTTCAGTGAAGCTCTAAGCACGGCAGGAGGTCTCTAGGGTTTTTCATCTGGGCCGTGGCAACCAAGATGTGTTTCTTAAGGGTCCCTCCTGGTTGTAGCCATGGAGAGTTGAGGGCTTGTGGAGAGAGGGGTGGAGGCTTCAGGATGCATTTGGAGGTCTTGGCTGGTGTTCGGGGCCCACACGGTGAGAGAGGTGGGCATGGCTGCTGCCATCCGTGTGGGTCCTGTGCGGCCCTGAGCTCTACTGAAGATGAGGTCAAGAGTGTGGGGAATGGGGTGGGTTCTGGGGATGGCACGTTCCTGCTGCAGGAGTTACACACTTGCCCCATGGCTGCAGGCTAGGCAGGACCAGTGTGGAGACTCGGGTAGAACTCGGGGTGGCTGCATGAACTGCCTCTAGCTCTCACCTTCGTGGGGGTGGATGATGGTGGTGTGTGCTCACGTCTCCTTCCCGGGGTGGGAGCTTTCCTGGATTTTATCTGGGGTCTGTGTTTCAAGAATAGCTTGAGGCCCTGTCCTCAGGAACAGTGGGAGCCCTGGCCACAGAGCAGAGGGCGAGGGAGCCACTTGGCAGGTGGGGCTGCACAGGTGTCTGACACCCCAATGGGGTGGGAACAGCAACTCAGGAAGAGGACAGTAGTGCCTGGCTCTCATCTGCCACCACAGAGAGGACAGAGGCCCCCCAGGGACGCCAGCCTTGGGGCAGGAGGTGGTCCTGGTGCCCCCAGAGGCCCTCACTTGGAGGGAGGAAGGGGCTCCCGGAGGTCTATCAGGCCAGGCGGGAGCAGGCAGTGACTGTGGCCTCCTCTCTCCAGGACACGTCTTTCCAGAATTCAAAGAGAGCGATGCCATGTTTGCTGCCGAGAGAGTGAGTGTGGGCGTCCGCCAGGGGTCCTGTGGCTGTCGAGGAAGTGTGAGGGGAGCACTGGGAGCCTGGCTTGCTTGGGAGTCGGTAGCTGAGCTCCCGGGGAGGCGCAGCAGCTGTCTCTGCTGGGCAACGTGGAGACGCGGCTCGAGGGCCTTGAGAGTGGCTGTGGGCTACGAAAGGACAGACACCTCCGAGGAGGAAGAAGTCCCTTCCTCCGGTCTCGGCAGCTTCACCCCAGGCCACGGCGCTGGGAAGGGCCGGCTGGGGCATTACTCTCGAACCTACTGAGGTCCTCTCTCTGTCCGCTCCCTTGAGTGTGCCGTGGAGCTCGGCGGCGGGGCGAGTGGCCCTGACTCTCTGCCTCTCCTCAGGCCCCGGACTGGGTGGACGCTGAGGAATGTCACCGGTGCAGGGTGCAGTTTGGGGTGATGACCAGAAAGGTGAGTTCCCTCCCGGGGAGCTGGGGGCTCTGCTCTACGGCCCTGGGCGGACACCAGGTCCCCTGCCGTGCGCAAGGCCACCATCCTTGCTTCGTCTTTCCTTCCTGGTGGGTGGCTCAGGAGGTGAGTGCCGCTTGAAGCAGGCGGGGAGGTGTCAGCGATGGGGACAGTGAGGGCCGCTGATGTGGGCCGGATGCCGCTGCCTGGCTGGGCCCGGCCTCACTCGGGGATTGTAATGTCCCAGACCTGGGCTGCGTGCTTGCCACAGTCACTCTCCTGCTTGCCAGGGCCGTGTGGCCACTTTGTTGTGTGGCTTAGCCCACCTGGATTCTGACCCTGCGAGCTACCTTCCCACCAAAGCCCCCTCCGGCTGATGTTCGGGAATGCTTGGGGTTTGGGGTGTCAGAGCAGTGTCCAGCACCCACTGCACTCACAAAAGCTCTTGTTTTATCAGCAGCACAGTGTGTGTGTGTGTGTGTGTGTGTGTGTGTGTGTATGTGTATGTATTTTTTGCACTTTTTTTTTTTTTGAGAGAGAGTCTTGCACTGTTGCCCAGGCTGGAGTGCAGTGGCGCAATCTCAGCTCACCGCAACCTCCGCCTCCTGGGTTCAAGCAATTCTCCTGCCTCAGCTTCCCCGAGTAGCTGAGACCACAGGCATGCGCCACAACTCCCAGCCGATTTTTTGTATTTTTAGTAGAGATGGGATTTCACCATATTGGCTAGGGTGGTCTCCGTCTCCTGACCTTGTAATCTGCCTGCTTCAGCCTCCCAAAGTGCTGGGATTACAGGCGTGAGCCACTGCGCCCTGCCCACACTTCTTTTTAACTTACCTTGTTTTCACCAAAGCGGTGGCTGCCGTTAAGACTCCTGGGAGCACCTCTGGGTCCCTGGCCTTAGTGTCCCCCCTCCCGGGCACTTGTTCTGCTTGTGCCCTGCCTTACCCCGCCTGTGAGGCCAGCCTCAGCGCTGTATAGGGCAGTTCTGGGCCAGGTGGCACATCAGGGTCCCCCGTGTCTGTGACCAGCCTGCCTGCCCCATCTTGCAGCACCATTGCCGAGCGTGTGGGCAGATCTTCTGCGGGAAGTGTTCCTCCAAGTACTCCACCATCCCCAAGTTCGGCATCGAGAAGGAGGTGCGCGTGTGTGAGCCCTGCTACGAGCAGCTGAACAAGTGAGTCCCCTCCGCTCAGGCCTCAGGTGGGGCAGGCCCTCCAGGCCCTCCTCTCGGCCATGGTGCCCGAGGCCTGCAGACCCAGTGGGCCCTCGGCACAGCAGCTGGAGTCAAGGGAAACCCAGGGCGGCTGCACTCCTGCGGACCCTGCCCCACTTGAGGACAGGCGGGTAGGTGTGCAAGGCCGGGCGCTGTGGCTCCTGGTACAGGCTGCTCTGGCCGGCCTGTTGCTTGGGTTTCGGTTTGGATTCATTTCTATTTCAAGGTTTGGAGATAAAGCTTACAGAAAGGTCGCAAGAGCAGCCGGAGAACCTGCAGGGCCACGGCCAGGCCTCCGTGGCGGGCGTCCCGCTGCAGCTTTCGCCACCTCCCCTCCCTGCACGTGCGCATGTTCGCACAGGAGTTTTTGCTGGTTTGATTTGGTTTTGTTTGTTTTGAGACACAGTTTCGCTGTTGTTGCAATGGCATAATCTCAGCTCACCGCAACCTCTGCCTCCCAGGTTCAAGCGATTCTTCTGCCTCAGCCTCCCGAGTAGCTGGGATTACAGGCACGTGCCACCACGCTGGCTAATTGGTTTTTAAATTTTTTTGTATTTTTAGTAGAGAAGGAATTTCTCCATGTTGGTCAGGCTGGTCTCAAACTCCTGACCTCAGATGATTCGACCACCTTGGCCTTCCAAAGTGCTGGCATTACAGGCACGAGCCCCCGTGCACAGCCTCACACAGGTTTTTTTATTTTTTTATTTTTTATTTTTGTTTTTTCCCCCACCCTCCCTTCACACACAGGTTTTATACTGAATTTCCGTGAATGTGGATGTCATGCACACGGACCTTTGCGTGTGATCCCTAAGAGTGAGCATGCTCTCTGGTCACAGCGGTTGCTCAGGACTGCGCTGCCACCCAGCGCTGGCTTCTGCTATCTGGTCCCTGCAGTGTGCCCGGGGGTCTGCCCTGGGTGCACACCTGGTGTGTGTGGACCGTGGTCACTTCTTAGTTCCCTTCTCCTGGAGCATGTCCTTGCCTCCCTGTCTTGCTCCCGGGACGTGTCTGGGAGGTGAGGCCATGGCTGCCTGCCCCTCTGTTCAGGTCTCAGGCTTCCGCCTGCCTAGGTTTGGGAACTCCAGGGGCAAGGCCGTGCCCTCCTCAGGGTCCGATCAACCCAGCCATGTCCGGTGATGGGCTGCTGCTCCGGGAAGTTCCTTTTTCTTCCCGTGACTGAGAAGAGGTTTTGTTGGGCCATGGCAGCGTCCTCTCCATCCCAGCCACTGCCCGCGTGCGTGAGTGTGCTGCACCCCGGCGGTCCATGGCAGGGTACCCCGACACCATTGCTGCCTCACACACGCCGGCTGGCGTCCCCCCGTCCCAGGGGCTGTGCAGGTCTGCTTTGGTGTGGACTTTTCCCTTAGAAAAGAGCCCCAGGGGCCGGGCGCGGTGGCTCACGCCTGTAATCCCAGCACTTTGGGAGGCTGAGGCGGGTGGATTGTGAGGTCAGGAGATTGAGACCATCCTGGCAAAGGTGAAACCCTATCTTTACTAAAATAAAAAAATTAGCCGGGCGTGGTGGTGCGTGCCTATAGTTCCAGCTACTCAGGAGGCTGAGGCAGGGGAATCGCTTGAATCCGGGAGACAGAGGTTGCAGTGAGCCGAGATAGTGCTACTGCACTCCAGCCTGGTGACAGAGCAAGATTCCGTCTTAAAAAAAAAAACAACCCTAGGTCAAAGGTCAGCAGGCACGGTTTGAAGTTGCAACCGCATGGTGAGTGTGTGGCCCTGGACTGCCTGGGCCTCTGGAAGAGCTGACTGGGCGTGACAGAAGCTTCTTGGGTGGGGCCCTCCCACTGCTGCGGTGCTGGGCTCCGTGTCCTGAGCCCCTAGAAAGGGCTTTGCAGGCTCGCTGGGGTTCTGAATGTCGATTTTCAGGAGACACCCTGGGGCTTAGACTGAGGGACTCACCCGGGTCCTGGGGCTGGTGTGAGGCTCGACTCCTGCCCTGCTCCTCTCTGGTGTGTGGCGTGGAACCACTGTCATCACTGTGCGGGCACACAGGAGCCCGCAGAGGTGCGATTCAGAACTTCGGTGGACGCAGGATGGCGTCGGCTCGTGGTCACCTGTGGCATCCCCTCATACCCACAGGAAAGCGGAAGGAAAGGCCACCTCCACCACCGAGCTGCCCCCCGAGTACCTGACCAGCCCCCTGTCTCAGCAGTCCCAGGTACTCAGTCCCCTCCGTCCCGTGGGCCTCTCTTTCCCGGGACCCGCCTCACCTTCTGCACTCATCCTCAGCTGCCGCCCAAGAGGGATGAGACAGCCCTGCAGGAGGAGGAGGAGCTGCAGCTGGCTCTGGCGCTGTCCCAGTCGGAGGCGGAGGAGAAGGAGAGGCTGGTAAGCTGGGTGAGGTGGGGTGGCTGCGGTGGGGCCAGAGGGCACCGTGTGCCCCCGAGTGATGCCCCTCTTAATTCTGCCTCAGAGACAGAAGTCCACATACACCTCCTACCCCAAGGCGGAGCCCGCGCCCTCAGCCTCCTCCGCGCCCCCCACGAGCAGCCTGTACTCTTCACCTGTGGTGAGCGGCCTCGGGCTGGGGCCACCTTCCCTGGGAGGCAGTGGGGGTGGTGGGGGATGCGGGTCCCTGGCTGCCCAGAGAGGACGGCCCAACACACGGGTGACATCAGGGCAGAGCCCCGCTGCTCCAGGCCCCTGTGCCTCCCGGTCCCTGGTTCAGCCCTTGGCACTGAGGACACGGGAGCAGCTGTGGGGACGGCGTCTTGCTGGTGAGGCCTAGTCTCTCCCGCCCTCCTCATGCCCCACGGGAATTGAAGGCCTTGCTCTCTAGGGCACCTGTGTCACCTCTCCCTAGCCTCAGCCCCGATCTCAGTAGCTGGTGAAGATGCAGCCTGATTTGCTGCGGTGGGGTCAGGGACAGCAGGTTGAGAAAGTCATTTTGTAGGTTCTGTGGAGTGGCCAGGCCACTGCAGGCAGGGGCTCAGAAAGCCCCGTCCCAGTGAGCCACCCCTCCCTCCTCCCCTCCTTCCTGGCTGTCGGGCAGGACCCACACACAGGACTGTGTGGGGGCTGTCCAGTGTCCACCTCGGGGCCACAGGTCTGGCCTGGTGCCGCCCTGTTCCTCCCATAGCAAGATTAGGAGCTTCGTGGCTGTGGGGCGCCGGCCTTGGTGGCGCCTTAAGTATCTGGAAGAGGCCGTCAGATGCCGGGGACCGGAGGAGGGCAGGAGGGTGGGCCCAGGCTGTGGCTCTGCTCTCCAGGGTCCGCCGGCGCCATCCCAGTCCCTGCCCGAGCAGCCGCTCCCTGTCAGCCTCTGACACTCTGATGCCCCTTCCTCCCCAGAACTCGTCGGCTCCCCTGGCTGAGGACATTGACCCTGAGGTAAGGCCCGGTGCGGGGCGTGTCCTCTCATGGTTTATGGCCTTGGGAGTGACCCCCTCGTTACTTGCAGCTTGCACGGTACCTCAACCGGAACTACTGGGAGAAGAAGCAGGAGGAGGCTCGCAGGAGCCCCACGCCGTCTGCACCTGTGCCCCTTGCAGAGCCGGCCACCCAGCCCGGGGAGGGACACGCAGCCCCCGCCAGTGTCGTGGAGGTGAGGGGCCAGTCCTGGCATTCCTGGTGCAGGGTGCCTTGGATGGGGTGGATGCGGGACAGACCCGAGACCCTCCTCCTTCTCTTCCAGAACCCCCTCCCGGAGACAGACCCGCAGCCCATTCCTCCCTCTGGTGGCCCCTTTAGTGAGGTAAGCTGTGGCTCCCTCCACAGGCCAGGGGAAAACATGGCCACAGCCTCCTGGCCCACAGCACCAGGCATGTGGCACAGGTGCCTGCCCTAACCAGAAGGTCACTCCAGAGCAAGGGTGTTCACCCCGGCCCAGACCTGGCCCACTATGCCCTGAGTGTCTTCTCCCAGTGGAAACTGTCCACACTGGGCTATGGTCCAGAGCCCAGGCCACTCTGCGGACCTGACATGGACCTGAATATTCCAGAGCAGCCTAGAACCACTGGATGTGTCCTTGGCCTTGCCTAGGGCTTCTGGGCCCATTGGCTATCAGAGCGCAGGGCCTTGGAGAGGGAGGCAGGCCCCACGCCACCAGGCAGCAGGGCCCTGAGCCGGCTCCGTCCTGACCGGTGCTGTGCTGCTGGACAAGGGCCCAGCCTCCGGGGCCTCGCCCGCCGCCTCCTGTGAGGAGCAGATTGACTCTGCTCCAGGCCTGAGCGGAGCTGGGTGCCTCCGTCCGGGGCCCCACCGGGGAGGCCAGCTAGGCTGTGGCTGAGGCTGCACTCATCCGGCCCCTGCTCTGCCTGCAGCCACAGTTCCACAACGGTGAGTCCGAGGAGAGCCACGAGCAGTTCCTGAAGGCGCTGCAGAACGCTGTCACCACCTTCGTGAACCGCATGAAGAGCAACCACATGCGCGGGCGCAGCATCACCAACGACTCGGCCGTGCTCTCGCTCTTCCAGTCCATCAACGGCATGCACCCGCAGCTGCTGGAGCTGCTCAACCAGCTGGACGAGCGCAGGCGTAGGTGCCCGTCCCTCGGGGCCTCGGCTCGCGGGCAGCCGGGCGCTGGGAGCGCCGTCCTGTGCTAGACCCTGGCTGGGGCCTCCGCTGAGGGTGCCATATCATCTTAGGGGTTCTCCACTGAAAGGTCTCAGTGGGAGGTGGTCTCGGTGATGACCCTGCCTGCCCTGCCTGCCTCCCCAGATCCCAGGGCCTGCAGAGCCCTCTGCAGAAGGCTGGGCACAGGGTGGCCCGTCTGCACGTCCGTTCCACCCGGGAGCATCTCGGCGCTTTGCCAGAGTGGTCAGGGCTGCTCTGTTGTCTGCCCACAGTGTACTACGAGGGGCTGCAGGACAAGCTGGCCCAGATCCGCGATGCCCGGGGGGCGCTGAGTGCCCTGCGTGAAGAGCACCGGGAGAAGCTTCGCCGGGCGGCCGAGGAGGCAGAGCGCCAGCGCCAGATCCAGCTGGCCCAGAAGCTGGAGATCATGCGTCAGAAGAAGCAGGTGCCGTGGCTGCCCAGCTACGGGCCGGAGCGGGCTGGGGACCCACCGGGTGACTGCAGAGGGTGCCCAGCCACAGGCTGGGGAAGGCTGGGGACCCACCGCGTGACCACCACGTTTTTGCTGCACAGGAGTACCTGGAGGTGCAGAGGCAGCTGGCCATCCAGCGCCTGCAGGAGCAGGAGAAGGAGCGGCAGCTGCGGCTGGAGCAGCAGAAGCAGACGGTCCAGATGCGTGCGCAGATGCCCGCTTTCCCCCTGCCCTACGCCCAGGCACGTGCCATCCTCCCACTGCCCAGGGGCTCGTGCGCAGAGGACCAACTCTCACCACAGTCTCTTTCGTCCCCAGCTCCAGGCCATGCCTGCAGCCGGAGGCGTGCTCTATCAGCCCTCGGGACCCGCCAGCTTCCCCAGCACCTTCAGCCCTGCAGGCTCTGTGGAGGGTTCCCCCATGCACGGCGTGTACATGAGCCAGCCGGCCCCTGCTGCCAGCCCCTACCCCAGCATGCCCGGCACCGCAGCAGGTACGGACGGGTTGGGGCAGAGGACCCTTTTCCCCCAATCTTGGTTTTAGCCGAATTTACAGAAAGTGGTAAGAAAGGTGTGAAGGGTTTTCCAGACCGCCCCGAGGTGGATTTTGTCACGCTTGCTTTTTCCTGTTTCCATGCCAATGACCTCCCGAAGGCTTTCCTGTTGGAGCCGCTTTTCGGTTGGGGGCAGGTGCTGCCCTCCCCACCAATGCGACAGTGAGCTGTTTCTGAAACCAGCAGGCACTGGGCTGCCCAGTCCAGTCTGTGGCAGGCTCCGCCCTCGTGGGCAGTCCCCCTGGTGTCCCGTATCAACAGCACACCCAGTGACTCGTGCCATCTAGCCCGCCCTCCTCTCGTCGCCTTTAATCTAGAACATTCCCCAGTCAGCCTTTGCGTTTTGTGACATCGACTGTCCCAAGAGCCTGTTGTGTGGCAGACTGTCTTCACAGAAGGTGACGTGCGTCCTGTCACTTAGCCCCATTGCTGGCCATTTGGATGAGACGGCCTCTGCCAGGGGTTTTCACTGTGAAGTGACCGTGTCACCCCTTGTAATTAAATGTGTCTCGGGGGAGACTTTCCGGAGCCTGGACTCCTCAAGCTCTACCGTTTTTTTGCCAATGTTGCCTGGGTTTATTGTCTTTGTCAGGTTGCGCCTTCTAATTATGCTGTTGTCTTTCCGCTGGAGGGAGGTGCTGCTCCTGCCTCCTGCTTACCGGCAGTTACCGCTGCGTGGAGACGGGCATTTTTTCTTTCAAAGATTGCGGTCCTCTAGTATCACTCTTTTTTTTTTAGTTTTTAGAGACGGGGTTTCTCCATGTTAGTCAGGCTGGTCTTGAACTCCCACCCTCAGAGGATCTGCCCACCTCGGCCTCCCAAAGTGCTGGGATTACAGGCGTGAGCCACCGTGCCCAGCCTATTATCACTCTTTATTTTGAGTCAGGTCTCGCTGTCACCCTGGCTAGAGTGCAGTGGCATGGTCATGTTTCACTGCAGCCTTGACCTCCTGGTCTCAAGCAGTCCTCCTGCCTCAACCTCCTGAGTAGCTGGGACTGCAGGAGTGCGCCACCATGCCTGGCTAATTTAAAAAAAAAAAAAGACCTGTCACAGTGGCCCAGGCCTGTGATCCTAGCACTTTGGGAGGCTGAGGCAGGTGGATCACAAAGTCAGGAGTTCAAGACCAGCCTGGCGAAGATGGTGAAACCCCATCTCTACTAAAAATACAAAAATTAGCTAGGCCTAGTGGCAGGCGCCTATAATCCCAGCTACTCGGGAGGCTGAGGCAGACAATCGCTTGAACCCGGGAGGCGGAGTTGCAGTGAACCGAGATCCCGCCACTGCATTTTAGCCTGGGTGACAGAGTGAGACCCTGTCCCAGAAAAAAGAAAAAAAATTGTAGAAATGAGGTCTTTGTGTGTTGCCTAAGCTGACCTCAAAACTCGTGACCTCAGGTGATCCGGCCTTCTTGGACCCCCAGAGTGCTGGGATTCCTGGGTGTGGCCATGGGAAGCATCAGTGGCTTCTCTCTTGGGTACGGCCTCGGTTTTGGATGCTCTCGAGTCTCTGGTGCTGGATCCTCTGTGCTTTTCTTACACGTTCTCAGCCCTAGAACCAGCCATTTCTCCAAGGAGCCCTAGTTTCATTTAGTGGAGGGTGGTCTGGATCTTGGTTAGAAGCCAAGATTGAGATCTGGGTGTGCTCACAGCTCTAGGTTGGCAGACACAGCTGGAAAGTGCGTATGTGCACACTTATGTGTGTGTGCCTGTGTGAACACACGTATCTTTATCTGTATGTGGTAAAAACCATGAGTTTGTCCAGGTGTGGTGGCTCCTGCTTGTAATCCCAGCACTTTGGGAGGCCGAGGCGGGGATGAATTACTTAAGACCAGCCTAGCTAAAATGGTGAAACCCCAGCTCTACTAATACAAAAATGACCCGGGTGTGGTGGCACGCACCTGTAGTCTCAGCTACTCGGGAGCCTGAGGCAGGAGAATGGCTTGAACCCAGGAGGCAGAGGTTGCGGTGAGCCGAGATCGCGCCACTGCACTGCAGCCTAGGCAGCGGAGCAAGACTATATCTCAATATACTTACTTGCTCAGCCCTAGAATACACAAAAAGTAGTTTCAAGAATGCTATCCTGGCCCATTGTGGAGACCATGCCTCCCAACCGGAGTGTAATATTTGTCTGTAGTTCCTGTCATCTGTAGCCTGAGGCCGTGGACTCCAGATTCTGGGTTCTGAAGTTCCTGGGAATTACTCTCCCATAGCATCGGTCAGACCATGTCACTCATTGAAAGTAGTTTGGTTCCTTTCTTCAGATTTCATTCCATTCTGGGATTCTCCTCCATCCTTGCTGGTTTATCTCCTGCTTTTTTTTTTTCTTGAGATGGGGGTCTTGCTCTGTTGCCCACGCTGGAGTGCAGTGGTGTGATCTCGGCTCACTGCAACCTCTTTGCCTCCCGGGTTCAAGCAATTCTCCTGCTTCAGCCTCTCGATTAGCTGTGATTACAGGCATGCGCCACCATGCCCAGCTAATTTTTGTATATTTCGTAAAGACAGGGTTTCACTGTGTAGGACAGGCTGGTCTCGAACTGCTGACTTCATGATCCGCCCGCCTTGACCGGTGGTGCCACTGCACTCCAGTCTCCGCAACACAGTGAAACTTGGTCTCAAAAAACAAAAAAGGAAAATGAAGACAAGGGTGTCCCTGCCATCCCTCCACACTGACCTGGCTGAACCATCTCACCTGTCTTGTTTGTCACAGATCCCAGCATGGTGAGCGCCTACATGTACCCAGCAGGGGCCACTGGGGCACAGGCGGCCCCCCAGGCCCAGGCCGGGCCCACTGCCAGCCCTGCCTACTCATCCTATCAGCCGACTCCTACAGCGGGCTACCAGGTATGCAGGCAAGGCCACTCCCCACCTCCAGGGCCAGCCCAGCCCCTTCTCCCATGGCACCCATTCCCCCTGCAGAATGTGGCCTCCCAGGCCCCGCAGAGCCTCCCGGCCATCTCTCAGCCTCCGCAGTCCAGCACTATGGGCTACATGGGGAGCCAGTCGGTCTCCATGGGCTACCAGCCTTACAACATGCAGGTACAGCGACCTCCAGGCTCTGCTAGGGGCCGGGGTGGGGAAGCAGAGTTGACACTCAGGGTCTTGGTGAGGCTGGTGGGCACTGGGCGGGCCCCACCCCTTCTGTCGTCCCCTCAACCCTCTGGGCTCTTCTTGTCTCCTTCGGATTGTTGCAAGCCAGAAACAACCCCTGGCTTCGTGGTCACAGGGCTAATCTCTGACATCTGGCTTCTTCTCACAACAGAATCTCATGACCACCCTCCCGAGCCAGGACACATCCCTGCCACCCCAGCAGCCCTACCTCGCGGGGCAGCAGCCCATATACCCGCAGGTGAGGCATTCCCAGGGCCTCTCAGTGGCATCGCTGCAGTCTTCTGGTTCACGGGCGGGTCTCCTGGCCCCAGTGGGGATTGTCCTGTACGCCTGCTCACACGGGGAGACGCATACCCGAGGCCCCTCCTTAGCAGGCAGAACGAGGATGCGAGTCTTAGAGCAGACACGTGTCCACAAGTGGAGACGGGAAAAATCATGAATGCACTGGAAAGCCAAAGGCCACATGAGCTCCACTCGGGGGACGTGGATGACGGGCTCCTGTGGGTCTGCGGCTCTGCTGGGACCAAAGCCTTCCTCCCATGGCCGGGAAGGGAGGGCCAGGGCCATGCCTGCTCTCCTCCCAACAGATGGCAGCCTCCGGCGGTCCCCCCCAGCAGCAGCCCCCCGTGGCACCGCAGCCGCCGGCACAGGGGCCTCCGGCACAGGGCAGCGAGGCCCAGCTCATCTCATTCGACTGACCCAGGCCATGCTCCCGTCCAGAGTAACACTACAGTCCACCCAAAACGCCTCGTCTCTAACTGCCGCCATCCCGCACCCCCATCCTCTCCTGCCGCTAGTGCCCCTTCTCTGAGTGAGGGGCCTTCACCCCGAGCCCGCCTCCCTCCCTGTCCTCAGCCCACCGCAGTCGCCGAGTTGGTTTCTGCCTCCTTTCCCCAGGGCTGGGCCATGGGGAGGGAAGGAGGGAGGGCAGCCCCCATCCTGTGGGTCATGGTCTGGAGAGGCGGCAGGAATGGGGACCCTCAGCCCCCCATGCAGCCTGTGCCCTCTGGCCCCACTGTGAGCTGGGCTGTGGTGTCTGGGTGTGGCCTGGGGTGCCCTCTGCAGGGGCCTCTCGGCTGCCACAGCCAAGGGTGGACGCTTCAGGTCTCCAGCTTCTCTGCTTCTCAGCTGTCATCTCCAGTGCCCCAGAATGGAACAGTGATAATAAAATGTATTTCAGAAAGCATCAGCATTGTGGGTTCTTAAATTTTATTTTTTTAAGATGGGGTTTCACCAAGATGGCCAGGCTGGTCTTGAACTCGTGACCTCAGGTGATCCACCCACCTCGGCCTCCCAAAGTGCTAGGATTACAGGCGTGAGCCACCGTGTCTGGCCTAATTTTTTAGTTTTCTGTCGCCCACGCTGGAGTGCAGTGGCAGTGGCCACCTTCCTCCTCTCACTGCAAGCTCTGCCTCTGCCTCCCAGGTTCAAGGGATTCTGGCTTCTCAGCCTCCCTAGTGGCTGGGACTGCAGGTGCAGGTCACCACCACGCCTGGCTAGTTTCTGGACTTTTAGTAGAGACGGGGTTTCACCATGTTGGCCAAGCCGGTCTTGAACACCTGACCTTGGGATCCGCCGGCCTCGGCCTCCTAAAGTGCTGGGATGACAGGCCTGAACCACGGCGCCCAGCCGGCCTCAGCGTTTGCTCAGGAGGCGAGTGGTGGGGCTGCGGGCGGTGCCCAGCGTCCCTCCCTGAGGCTGCGCGCCAGGGTTCACCCGCGCCCCGCGCGGCCCTGCACTGACCCTGCCTGCGGCTGGGGAGGATCTGGACTCGGCGCCGCCTCCGCGTGGTGGCTGGCGCTTCCCGGGTGCTTCTCACTCGCAGGAAGGGAGCCGGTGCTGCGTCCCCGGCCGGGGGCAGACGGGGCCGGCCTTCGCACCCAGAGCCCAGGGCGTCGCACGCACGGTCGCATCGGGCCTCTTAGGGGAGCCGGCTCCGGCTCTTCCGGGAAGGAACGCCCCGAGCGGACAGGGAGCGGGGAGGCGTGCAGGGGCGGGCGGGACGAGCAGGCCCTGGGCCCGCGCCGCACCCGGTCTGAAGGCGGAGGCCCGGCCGCGCTCCTCCGAGAAGCCACCAGGGGGTCTGGGGCTTTCGCTGGGAGAGGGGACGTCGCTCGGCGCTCCGCCCCGACGGCAGCACTGGGGGCCCGGGGCGGGCGGGAAACGCGGGTTCCTGCGGGCTCCGGGCCCCATCCTCGGTTCGCATCGCGCACGGACAGGAACCCGCGGGCTCCGAAGAAAGAGCCCGTGAATGCGGAGTCCCCGGGCCCCGTGGCTGCTTGACGCGACCCCAGACGCCGGAGGAAAGAAAGGACCCAGGGGCCCAGGGGCCGCCGCCGCCGTCGCCGCTTCTGCGCCTGCTCAGCGCGCTGCCTTGTGGGTACTCTCGGGGTGAGACGAGGCCAGAGCCAAGTGCGGCTAGAGCGTCCCTCCCGGCTCTCACGCCCGGGGCCATAACGGCTAGAGCGCCGCTCCCTGCTCGACTGTCTGGCGGCCTTGGCGGCTAGAGCGTCCCTCCCCAGCTCGAATGCCCGGCGGCCGCGGCGGCTAGAGCGTCGCTGCTCAGCTCGGATGCCCGGCGGCCGCAGCGGCTAGAGCGTCACCTTCCCTCGGGGAACCGCGTGTGACCTTCCAGCCCGCGGACCGATGCTGCCGGCGGCCGCTCGCCCCCTGTGGGGGCCGTGCCTTGGGCTTCGGGCCGCTGCGTTCCGCGTCGCCAGGTACCGCGGGATGCTGGGGCGCCAGGACCGGGCTGGCGGGCAGGGTAGGGGGCGGCCGGACACTGAGGGGCCGGTCCGGGCGGAGGCGGGCGGCGGGGCCGGCCTCCCTGCGGCGCCCGGGCCGGGCTTGGGGTGTCTGCGCGGGGCGCGGGGAGGAGGCCCGCCGGTGCGCCCGCCCCTTCCCTCCTGGGCCGCAGACAGCGCCGGGGTCGGCCCCAGGTGACCTTGGTCGGTTCCCTGCTCCTCCCCCGGCCTCAGCCTCCTCCGCGGCAAAGGCCCGTCCGTGCGTGCGGCGCTTTTCGGCCGGGGGGCCCACATTTTGGGGTCCTTCCGCAGGAAGAGGCACCTGAGTAATAGTTTCACCACCGCTGGGTTGATCAAGCTTCATTCAAACCAGAAGCTTGAGGTTTGAGCGGTCCGGCTGCAAATAAGCACGTGGCTTTTAAGGCTCTTGGAAGAATTTAAAGTAACTTGCAAACCTTTTTATCAATATGAGCCTTTGAGGTCTGAAAACCCTGGGCTGGGACCAAGGAGCTAGGTGATTTTCGACCGTAGTGACTGCCAGCCTGAGTTTAATGGCCAACACCCATCCTCTGGTTTCTGTCCTGTCGCCCTGGTCTCTGCAGCCCGCTCCATTCCAGGGCTGACAGCTGTTTGAATTGGGGGTGGGGGCTAGGCAGCAGGTGCCGTGTGTCTGTGCCGTGCGACATGTGAGAAGCAGCAGCCATCGGAGGGGTGAAGCCCTTGCTGGTGCACCCCTGGATAACGCCCCGAAGGAGTACCCCCCCAAGATTCAGCAACTGGTCCAGGACATCGCCAGCCTCACTCTGCTGGAGATCTCAGACCTCAACGAGCTCCTCAAGGTATTGTGAGAGAGTGGCCCAGACCCAGGGGCTGGAAGATTGTCTGGGGGCCGCTATGTTTTGTTCCCGGTGTATTTTTGAAGTTTGGTAAATTGTCAGAAGCCCGTTTGTCCAGGTGCAAGGTCCATGCCAGGCTGGTTCCTCCTCCTCCGTGTGTTCTGGCTGGTGTGGGGGCAGCTGTGGACACAGTTGTCTATCTCTGCAGAAAACGTTGAAGATCCAAGATGTGGGGCTTGTGCCGATGAGTGGTGTGATGCCTGGGGCTGTCCCTGCTGCCGCAGCCCAGGAGGTGAGTCCTGGGCAGAAAGAGGCATTTCTGTGGTGCCCAGTTCGCCTGTGGCCTCACGTGCCATGGCCCCTTATGTCAGCTTCTGCAGCCATCGTCATGTCTGCAGCCTTCACACCTGTGCAGGCCTCGTGCAGCCTCCCGGGACCTACTCCCTGCCACGGATGTGCACGTCCTTGCCACGTGGAGACCATGTTTCTAATGGGGAAAACAGTCACTAAGAGCAGGCCGAGCGCTGTGGCTCACACACGCCTGTAATCCCAGCAATTTGCGAGGCTGAGGTGGGCAGATCACTTGAAGTCAGGAGTTCAAGGCCAGCCTGGCCAACATGGTGAAACCATGTCTCTACTAAATTAGCTGGAGTGGTGGCAGGCACCTGTAACCTCAACTACTTGGGAGGCTGAGGCAGGAGAATCGCTTGAACCAGGGAGGCGGAGGTTGCAGTGAGCCAAGATCACGCTACTGCCCTCCAGCCCGGCAACAGAGCAAGACCCTGTCGCAAAACAAAAAGAGAGAGAAAAGAAAAGAAGAAATTATACCGAATAGAATGTTGTAAACATTATGGAGAAAAGGAGGGAAGAAGCTTAAGGTGAGAGGGAGAGTTACAAGTTCAAAGAGGAGGCAGTCATGGCAGAAGAGACTTCCTGGCAGAGGAGAGGGGGTGGTACCAGGGCCACCGGGCAAGAGGGTTGGAGTTCAGGGAGCAGCATGGAGGTGGAGGCTGGCACAGACGAAGGGGCGTAACAGGCGGCTCTGTCCTTGGGTCCCTGCAGGGAAGCCGACGGTCGTGAGGTGGCATGAGCCTCTCCACTGGCGCCCTCCCCTCAGCCCCTTTCCCCCACTAGGGAACCAGGTCGTGTCCCACAGAGGGTCCCACATTCCAAATGCATAGGGTGTCCGTGGGGCATCGTCACTGTCACGCCTGAGACCTGGAAGGCAGTTTAAAGGCTGAGAAGATTGAGGCTGAGCGTTTGGGTAAGAATAGCTGGGATTCCTGGAGGGGATGTTATTAACAGCTGGACAGCAGGCCCGACCCAGCCCGCTCCAGGCCACAGGGACACGCAGCCCCCTGCCCTCAGGTAGTGCTGGGTCTCCATGCGTCACCTCAGAAGCGCGGTGTGCCCGTCAGTCCCCGGGCGGGTCGTCAGTTTGTCATTGTACGTGCACTGTGACGTTGATGAGGACAGAGTGGCGCTGCTTTTCTGTAACTATTTTATATACAGAGCACTTTTGACGTCATTCTTTCCTGTTAGAAGTTACACTTTCTAAGGGAGAGGGGAGTGTTGAGGGAAAGACTGAAGTGTGTTTTGTTTTTGAGACTGAGTCTCACTCTGTTACCCAGGCTTAAGTGCAGTGGCGCGATCTCGGCTCACTGCAACCCTCCTGGGTTCAAGCGATTCTCCTGCCTCAGCTTCCTAATTTTGTGTATTTTGAATAGAGACAGGGTTTCCCTTTGTTGGCCAGGCTGGTCTCAAACTGCTGACTTCAAGTGATCCACCCAACTCAGCCTCCCAAAGTGGTGGGATTACAGGCGTCAGCCACCAGCTGAGGCAGGTTCAGGAAGTCTCACTGGGCACATCTGCTCTGACTAGCCCTGAGAGGAAGAGCACCAGCTGGTGAAGGACGAACGCGTCGGGAGACCTGACTTCCAACTCCAGGCTTGGCTGGGGCCTCCCCCGTGCCTCCCTTTGGGGCCTTAGAATGGCTTTGGCCCAGCAGTGGAGGCATTACCACCCCCGACCATTTCTCACCTGCCCCCCCGTCTTTCCTACTCCCTAAGGTGGTGGAAGAAGAAATCCCCAAACTGAAAGAACAGACGCATTTCACTGTCCGCCTGACCGAGGCCAATCCTGTGGACAAAGTGAAACTGATCAAGGAGATCAAGAACCACATCCAGGGCATCAACCTCGTCCAGGTGGGGCCCGCGCCACCGCAGCCAGTTCCGGCAGGTTCGGGAGCGGCGGCCCAGAGCCCCGGGTCTCTGACTTCACTCTCTCTGGCAGGCAAAGAAGCTGGTGGAGTCCCTGCCCCAGGAAATCAAAGCCAATGTCGCCAAAGCTGAGGCGGAGAAGATCAAGGCAGCCCTGGAAGCGGTGGGCGGCACCGTGGTTCTGGAGTAGCCTCCAGCGCCGAGGACTTGTGTTGAGGGGTCCCTGGGACCGGGTGAGGCTCCGCCCTCCCGTGGCCGCCGGCTGCACCCCCAGCTCCAGGCGCCCAGAGGAGCAGTTTGGGAGTGAGCACCGCGTGCGCTACGCGGCGAGGCCGGACAGGCCGCACAGACCTGTGGCAGGGAGGGAGGGGCGGCTGCTGCCTGGTGAGGGCACTGGGAGGCCACCAGGACGCGCCACTGGTGAATGTGCCTCTGGTGGCCGCTGAGAAGAATACACTGTGCAGCTGAGTGTGTGGAGTGCGGTGCTGTGGCGGGGCTGTGGCGGGGCTTCGGGGCTGGTACGGGATGGCAGGCTTGTTCCTGCCCCCTCCAGCTGACAGCTGGAAGTCTACAGACAATCACCAGGTCACCTGAGATCCCACAGCGGGCCCGGTGGGTGGCAGTGGAGTGGCGGGCCTGGGCTGAGCGGGAACCTCCCTGTCGTGAGTGCTGGCCCTCCTTAAGGCAGCAGGAAGTTCAGCACTTGCCTGAGAAGCTGAGGCAGCCTCGGAGCCAGCAGAGCTACCCCTAGCTCAGGCTGCAAGTACCCCTGACCCTAAGCCCGGCAACGGCTGTGTGGGTATGAGGGGTGGGGTGTGGGGTGTACTTTGCATCTGCAGAGTTGGGTGTCAGCTGCTCCTCTGGGGCCCGTAAGTGGGGGATCCTGGGACCTGGGCACAGTGGCAGGAGGGGCGTGTGGACATGAGCACTGGCGTACGGGGCCAGCTTGGCGCAGTGGTCACTGTGCACTCAGTAGGTTTCTGTCCCAGCTGGCCCATGACCAAGGCCAGCCCCCGGGCTGTGAGCCCACCACAGGGCCAGAGACAGGATGCGTTTAGCACCTGCTTTGGGAAACATGCCTGGTGTGAAGGCCCTATGGGCAGCCATGCCCCCCAGCCTCAGTTTCCCTGGTGGAAGAATGCCTTGCTTGGGACCAGAAAGGGGCCCTGTGTGTCTGGGACCTGCCCAGTGGCTGGGATGCCTGGGGAGAGGCAGAGTTTCAGGCTCACTCTGGGCACCCACACCCTGCCTGCCCAGGTCCCCTTCCAAGGCCTTCTGGTAGTTTCTCTGACTAACATGCTGTCCCCAGAACAGGCTCTGCCACAAGCCTGAAAGTCCTCATTAGCCATGATAGCCATTTGAGGGGTTTATGATTCTTCCCTCAGGAGGACACCACCGCCTGGGACTGGGTGCATCGTGCCTGGTGTCCTGCCGACCCCAGCTGCCTTTTCCCCCTGGAAGTCAGTGAACATCTGAGCTCAGGGGCCAGTCCTGCTTGGGGTCAGACAGGCATGCTGTCTTCATCTGGGCTGCCCTGAGGCCGGACAGGCCAGCAAAAATCTCCCAACGTGACTCTACTGTCTGCCCTCATCCAGGAATCTGCCAGGCCACTCTCAGGAGTCACCGAGAGGCTCTGTCCTCCCTGCCGGGGGATCCCCAAGGTGACCTGTGTATGCCAAGGGGCAGGACACTGCTGTGCACACGAGGCTGCAGTCCAGAGGCCTGATGGGGCTCTCCTTTCCCACGACCTGGCCCAGGCTGCCCCAACCACCCCCTTGGGCCTACAGACAAAACTTACGATCCGTTTGAGAATTGCAGGGGTCTTCGTGAGTCCCCTGACCTACAGGTGACAAAATCCACTATTTGAAAAGGCTCTGGTCTTGGACGCATCTCCTGTTTCACAGGACCCCTTGCCTTCTGGTCGCGCGCCCACAGCTCACGGAGTTCACACGTTTCTGTCTCCTGCTGCTCCTTGGTTTTTTCTTTCTTTTTTTTTGAGACAGTCTTGTTCTGTTGCCCAGGCTGGAGTGCAATCTCGGCTCACTGCAACCTCCACCTCCCGGGTTCAAGCCATTCTCCTGCCTCAGCCTCCTGAGCAGCTGGGATTATAGATGTGCACCACCATGCCCAGCTAATTTTTGTAATTTTAGTAGAGATGAGGTTTCACCATGCTGGCCAGACTGGTCTCGAACTCCTGACCTCAGGACCTGCCCACCTCAAACTCCCGAAATTCTTTTTTTTTAATGTTCATTTTAATTATTTATTGTTTTGAAACAGAGTCTCATGCTGTTGCCTGGGCTGGTGGTGCAATCTCGGCTCACTACAGACTCTACCTGCCAAATTCAAGTGATTCTCATGCCTTAGCTTCCCAGGTAGCTGGGATTACCGGGTTGCACCACTATGCCCAACTAATTTTGTATTTTTATTAGTAGAGACAAGAGTTTCACTATGTTGGCCAGGCTGATCTCAAATTCCCTCAAGCAGTCAGTCTGTCTTGGCCTCCCAATGTGCCCAGCCTTATTTTTAGTTTTTATTATTATTTTTTTAATAATAGAGATGGGGTGTCACCATGTTGGCCAGGCTGGTCTCAAACTCCTGACCTCAGGTGATCCACCCACCTCAGCCTCCCAAAGTGCTGGGATTACAGGTGTGAGCCACCACGCCCTGCTTATTTTTATTTTTTTATTTTTTGAGGCAGAGTTTTGCTCTTGTCACGCAGGCTGGAGTGCAATGGCACAGTCGGCTCACTGCAACCTCCACCTCCCGGGTTCAAGCGATTCTACCTCAGCCTCCTGAGTAGCTGGGATTACAGGTGTGCGCCACTACACCCAACTAGTTTTTGTATTTTTTTTTTTTTTTTTTTTTTTTTTTTTTTTTTTGAAACGGAGTTTCGCTCTTGTTACCCAGGCTGGAGTGCAATGGCGTGATCTCGGCTCACCGCAACCTCCGCCTCCCGGGTTCAGGCAATTCTCCTGCCTCAGCCTCCTGAGTAGCTGGGATTACAGGCACGCACCACCATGCCCAGCTAATTTTTTTGTATTTTTAGTAGAGACGGAGTTTCACCATGTTGACCAGGATGGTCTCGATCTCTCGACCTCGTGATCCACCCGCCTCGGCCTCCCAAAGTGCTGGGATTACAGGCTTGAGCCACCGCGCCCGGCCTTTTTTTTTTTTTTGAGACGGAGTTTCGCTCTTGTTAACCCAGGCTGGAGTGCAATGGCACGATCTCGGCTCACCGCAACCTCCGCCTCCTGGGTTCAGGCAATTCTCCTGCCTCAGCCTCCTGAGTAGCTGGGATTACAAGCACCCGCCACCATGCCCAGCTAATTTTTTGTATTTTTAGTAGAGACGGGGTTTCACCATGTTGACCAGGCTGGTCTCGATCTCTTGACCTCGTGATCCACCCGCCTCGGCCTCCCAAAGTGCTGGGATTACAGGCTTGAGCCACCGCGCCCGGCCTTAGTTGTTGTATTTTTAGTAGAGACAGGGTTTCACCACATTGGCCAGGCTGGTCTTGAACTCCTGACCTCAGGTGATGTGCTCCCTTCGGCCTCCCAAAGTGCTGGGATTACGGGCCCGAGTCACCGTGCCTGGCTTATTTTTAGTTTTTAATAGAGACAGGATCTCTGTCACCCTCGCGGGAGTGCTCACTGCAGCCTTGGCCGCCTGTGCTCAAGCAGTCCTCCCGTCTGCCTCCCGAGTAGCTGGGACTGCAGACACATGCCATCATGCCCAGCTAATCTTTTGATTTTTTTGTAGAGATGAGGTCTCACTGTATTGCCCAGGCTGGTCTGAAAGTCCTAGCCTCAAGAGATCCTCCTGCCTCGACCTCCCAAAATTCTGGGATTACAGGCAAGAGCTGCCATGCCAGCTTTTCGTGTTCTTTGTACATCTCCGTAGCTCCCGCTCCTCAGCCGCTGGGCCTGCTCTTCCTGCTTTGGAGCAGGTCCTTAAGCAGGGAGCCAGTGTTACATGGGTTGAGGTCTCTGCCAGCAGCTGGTTCCCACCCTGTCTTGCAGGTGGCCTTGGGAGGGATGGGTTGCAGCCCAGGCCCAACCCACTCCTTAACTGGAGTGTCTCAGACTGAGGGGACACCGGCCTTCCAGGCCCTGCCTACCCCAAAGCTTCCATCGCCTCTGATTCTCAGTAATTGGGAGCCGATGGATGCAACTCATCTCGGTTCACACTGGGTGAGACGTGCCGCCGTGGGCGCAGCCAAGTCTGCTGGACTGAGGCCTGAGCCTGGAAGGCCCCGGACAAGGATGCCAGTCCAGCCCTTCGCTGGGAAATTTCCGTTACAATCAGGCCACCTCCCCCACTTCCTAACTGTTGAGTCTGTTGGCTCTGGGCCTTCTAAGCCCAGCGTGATCCCTCTGAGGCCCTGCGGTGCATTTGTGCTGTCTCCATGTTCCCTGCCGAGCCCCAGCCCAGGCTTGCTGCAGGAGCACTGCCCCCACCCTCCTCGTGGCCTCCGGAGAACCTCCACCCGCTTCCCCAACAGGCTGTTTCCACCTCCAGTGGCCACTCGGCCCCCTTCTCCGTCACACCTGGGGCACCCGGCCAAACCAAAGTCCAGGGGACACTTCAGGGCAGAGCCACTGCCTCTGGCCAGCGGCGCACTCCCCAGCCCAGATCTGCTGATGACCTCTTGGGTCAGCGGCCACCCAGAGTCTAGAGAACAGTCTCCTCCAATTGGCCGGTCTAGACAGACACAGAGCCTGCCTGCCTACGATGGGGTTACGGCCCAGTAAACCCACGGCCAAGCTGAAAGTCGTGTGTGTGTGTCTTGTGCCTCTGACACACGGCATCACTGGACGCACTGAGGCAGAGCTAGACGCATTCTGGTCCTTGAGGGGGTCCAGGGACCATGAGTTGTTTTTCCAGTGCCCCTCACCCTTTGCCCTGGTCACCCAAGCTGGATAGGCACGTTCTTCGTCCCTGTGGCCCAGTCCTAAAGCAGCCTTGGGGGCTTCAATTTCACTCTGCCCCGCAGGTGCACCTGGGCCACGAACACACCAGCACCTCCTTGTTCTGTGCAGGGAAGTGGAATCCAAGCAAGGGCCCAGATGCAGGCCGGCATCTCCTGGGAACGGGAGCCCCAGGACCCATCCCGGGGCCCCACTTCCTGGGTGGTTGCCTGGGGCATCTCGTCAGAGCCAGACCAGAGCTGAGCAGGAGCTCCCGTGCGTCTGTGTGTGGGAAGGCAGAGGCAAGTCCTTTCTGCCTTTTGCCCCTGGTTTTCATTCAGTCTGGCCCAAGCGGGTTTTCCCTTTTTTTTTTTTTTTTTTTTTTGCTTTGAGACAGTCTTGCTCTGTCACCAGGCTGGAGTGCTATGGCGCGATCTCAGCTCACTGCAACCTCTGCCTCCTGGGTTCAAGCGATTCTCCTGCCTCAGCCCCCGAGTAGCTGCGATTAGAGGGTTGAGCCAACCGCGCCGGCTTCCGAAGCCGGTTTTCTGTTCTCTTGCAGCTGGGCCGGGGCTGAGGCCTCGAAGGGGCAGGGGTTGCAGACGCAGGGCCCACGCGGCGCAAACGTGGCCCCCGCCCGGGGACTCTGGATCCAGCGCCTGCGCAGCGGGGAGGCCACGGGGTGCAGGTTCAGGGCCAGGGGCCGGGCCTCCCGGGGATTGGCAGGGCGCCCGCCGCGGGCCAGTGAGCCTGGGGCCGGTCCCCGCACGGTGACCCTCGGCGCCGCGCTCCGGCCTGGGGAGGCAAGGACACCGGAGTCCCGGGTAAGGGGAGGCGGCCTTGGAGCCCCCGCGCGTCCCCACGCCGGGCCCACCGCGCTCGGCGCTCCTGCGCGGCCGCTTTAAGGTCCCGGGCCCACCTCCGTCGCTGGGGGCGCGGCCTAGCGGTCCCGCCCCCGGGGCGCGCGCGCGCATTGGCTGTGCGGGGTGCGGGCGCGCGGGCGGCGCTTTGAACCGGGCGCGGGGCGCTGCGGGCCGGTCCCAGTCGGGGTCGTGCCCGGGTCCGGCTGCAGTCGGGCTGGAGTTGGGCTCTTCTGGGCCATGGCGGCCGAGGCGCGCGTGTCGCGCTGGTACTTCGGGGGACTTGCCTCCTGCGGGGCCGCCTGCTGCACGCACCCGCTGGACCTGCTCAAGGTGAGGCCGGGACGGGGGGCGCGGGGCGCGGGGCGCGGGGCGGACGGGACTCTGGCGCCGCCGAGGCGCCTGCAACCGCAGCAGTCCGGCCCCACGCGCCCGGGGATCGCTGCGCCCCGGGGCTCCTCCAGGAGAGCGCGAGGCGGCGCCCGACGCGCTGGTGACCGAGCCGGGGTGGCGGATCCCGGGTGGCCCTCGGCTGGTGGCCGCGGAGCTCGAGGCCTTAGGGGCGCAGCCGCGCTCCCCGGGTTCCCAGCCGGGTTCCCAGTTCTCGGCAAGTGGCATTCCAGCCCCAGCTCTGCACTTTAATACGTGGTGACCTTGGGCGAGTCACTTGGCCTCTCTGAGCCAGCCACCGCCATACATTCAAGGACACGGCTTCCTCCTGGTTGGAAGTTATGGTGGGGAGTTCTGTGAGGTGCACAGGTGCTGGCACGCCCAGGGCGTGGGCCAAGCCGGCATCCCCCCAGGGGTGCTTAGGACGCTTCCGGACGTGGTCCTGGGCAAGTGGGGTGACCCGGTGCCCCTGATTTCGGCCGCTTCCTCCGGAGAGCTGGGCGGGGACTGGAAGTGATGTTAGGACCAGCACACCCCCGGGAGACCCTGTGCGCGTGCGGTCCTGGCCCTATGAGATGGGGTATTTCTCAGCACGAGAAGCAGCCACCGGTTTTTTTCCTTAAAAAAAAAAAAAAAATGCTTATGGGGCAAAATAAGACACAGCTGGCCTTGTTTCCCAGGGACAGCCAAGGGGCGTTGTTTTCTGACCCTGCCTTGCCACAGAGAACAAAGAAGAAAGGGCCCGAGGCTTTGCACAGTCTGCCCAGTGGGCCGTGCCCTGTGAACCCGGCTGCGGCCGCTGGGCAGCCGCCTGTCTGGGGAACTTTTATTTTAGCAGGCTGCGCAGGGGACCTGTATTTTTTACTACTGAGTAAAAATGCTGGCCACTGTGTGAAGGCCAAGTGAGCAGATGTGGGCGTTTGGGGCACCTGAGACCGAGATTGTCCTGGGAGCGGCCTGCGCAGCTCCCAAGCCACAGGCAGCCAGGGCCAGGGAGATGCGGTCACAGGACAGGAAGGCGCTGGCGTGGCCAGGAGGAGCCCCTTCTTGGCATCTGGCTCTTCCTTTCCTCCTGGGTGCCACATAGGTGCCCCCCCCAGGGCCTCTCCTACAGGCTCTCTGGGTGTTGAAGGCTGCCCCCGCCTGCCTGACCACTGTCCAAGGCCCCTCTGGGCGTCACTGCCCCTTGGCCCCACCCCACCAGGTGTTCCTTGGCTGCAGAACACTGTGGGAGGAGGCAGGGAAGGCTTTCCGGTGGAGGCGGGACTGCCCTCTGGCCTGGGAGGGCGGGAGAAGCCGCTGGCTGCTGACAGCAGATGGGGCTGTGGGCAGGGCGTGTCCCTGAGGACTGCTCGCCAGGGCTCTCTGCCTGGCCGTTCAAAAAATAGTTGTAAAGCTTCTTGATCACTTTGTCCCATGTCCCTACTGTTGGTTTTGGCCTGGACAGAGGCTGCTGCCTGTGTGGGCACCGGGTCCTCAGGCCCAGCCCCTCTGTTCTGCCACGTCACACAATGGGAGGCCCCTCTCTGTCCCCACTCATCTTTGCCACCCCCTGGGCATGTGTGACAGGGGCCATGCATGTGGAGGTCACACTGAATGGTGGACGGGCTTCTTTGGGGTCAGTGCTGGGGGTGGGACCCAGGAGCTGGGATCCTGGGTCAGGTGCTGGCCTTCCTGTCTGGCCCTGGCCCGCCCCTCTTCTGCCTGGAGCTCTCAGCTGGCCAGGCTGGTGGGCAGAGGTCTTGTGAGTGGTGGAGGCCAAGGAACGCGGAGGTTGTGGAGCTGACAGTCCCTGCGTGCCTGCCCACAGCTTCTAGGTGCTTTGTGGAGGAGGCCACTGTGCCCTGTGCCAGCCACACTGTCCCTCGCCTGCTGCTGAACTCCTGCCGCCTTTCAAGGCCTTCTCTGGCCACCTCCTCAGTCTCCTACGATCCTGCAGGCTCCCTCGCCATTTCTGAGCCCCCGGAAATGTCTGTCTCTCTTGAGATGTGGTGTGGTGGATAAAAAGTAGGGCTCTGGGGTCTCCTCGCTGGGCCCAAATCCTGATGGCACCAGTGGGTGCGTGACCTCTCCGTGCCTCAGTTTCCTCATCTGCAGAAGGAGAATGGCAAGCCCCTGTGGCCAGTGCAGCAAGGACTCAGGTGGTGCGTGGGGCATGCGTGGGGCACTCGGGGCTCACGGGCTCTCTCAGCTCAGTGTCCACCGCTGTGGTTGCTGGTGGAAAGCACTGGTGTGAGCTGGTTCCAGGCACGGGTGTGGAGTCCCCGGGCAGGGCCGGTGGGAGGCCTTATCACTGCCCTGCCTCAGTTTCCCCCTCCAGATGGACCCGGCACCGATCCCTCGGGGTCACTGCGGGGTCTGACAGCACTCACTCCCGCAGGTGCATCTGCAGACTCAGCAGGAGGTGAAGCTGCGCATGACGGGCATGGCGCTGCGGGTGGTGCGTGGCGACGGCATCCTGGCGCTCTACAACGGCCTGAGCGCCTCGCTGTGCAGACAGGTGCGCAGAGGGTGCCAGCCTCGGGCTTCCACATCCCCTCAGGGCTCCCGGACTGGGGCCTAGTCCCATGGTGGGCGTCGGAGCTACTTCCATCCCCTTTCCAAGACTTTCTGCCAGGACCAACCCACAGGGCCCAGAGAGCTGGTGACCCTGGGGTGGACCCTCCACGGACATCAGCCCAGTTCTCAGGGCTGGGCCTGAGACTGCCACTTGCCAGTGGGGAAACTGAGGCCCAGTGAGGGAGAGAGCAGGGTGCAGCTCTAGATTTGTGAACTGGCTCAGCCGCATGCTGACCCAGTGGCCTTGGGAAGGCCGCCAGGTCCCTGTAGCCCGTTGGGCTGAGGGGATACTTGGCTGGGCCGTGGTGGTGAGGCTGCGGGATGTGGGGCGTGCCTGCCCCTCCAAGCCGGGCCCTTCTCCCCAGATGACCTACTCCCTGACTCGGTTTGCCATCTACGAGACTGTGCGGGACCGGGTGGCCAAGGGCAACCAGGGGCCCCTCCCCTTCCACTGGAAGGTGCTGCTGGGCTCCATCAGCGGTGAGCTGCTGGGCGGGCTGGGCGAGGGGTGGCTGGGGGCTGTGGTCACCAAGTGTCATCACTGGCTGTCTCTGCGGTTTGTATCACTGCAGGTTTGGCTGGAGGCTTTGTGGGGACTCCCGCGGACTTGGTCAACGTCAGGTTGGTGTCCCCCGACCCCACCTGCAAGGCCAGGGGCTTTCTTGTCCCCAGACAGACCAGGGCGTGCCGGGGTCGCTGACAGGGTGGGGTCAGCCTGGAACAAGCCACTCGGACCCTGGTGTCCTGGGCATAGGAGGGCAGGTGTCCGAGCCCCGGTGCGCCCCAGCCTGGTGGCCCTGCTGACCAGCGTGAGCTTCCCGGCTGCCCGTGGGGCTCTGCCAGGGCTGCCCACGGCCCGAGGCCCGCCTGCCCCTCCCACCGCCTGCTTCTGTTTCAGGATGCAAAATGACATGAAGCTGCCCCAGGCTCAGCGGCGCAAGTGAGTCACGGGCGGCCCTGCCTTCTCGGGGTGGTTGGGGTGCAGGAGGCTCATGCTGGAGTGGACCCCCGGCCGCTCAGCCATGACGTAGTGAGGACTCCAGCAGGCCTCGGCACCTGCGTGGTCCACGGAGGTGTCGCTCTGCTCCCTAGGACCTGTGGGTTCTTCCTGCAGGGAGAGGCTTGTTGGACTGGGGGCTGGGCCTGTTTGCACCCTGGCGAGGGGGTGAGTGCAGAGGTGGAGGCCCCAGGTGTGAAGAGACCGCACTCGACAGAAATGCCCGAAGGAGGCACTTGCTCCCTGCCCGGCACAGGGCAGCTGTGCCTCCTGCCTCAGCCTGGGGTCTGCCCCAACTGCAGCATGAGCCGTTTTCCCCGCCCCTTCCGAGGACCCCTGGGGAAGAGTTTCTGGCTTCTGGCTGTGCACGCAGACTGTCCCCCAAGGATGGCGGGAGGCTGGCACGAAGGAGCCTGCATGCTCAGAGCAGCGCCCAGCCGGGGCCCGCATGCTAAGAGCAGTGCCCAGCCGGGGACTCTGCTGGAGAAGACGGACCCTCCCCACGAGGGCAGGCGGGGCTGGCGGGGTGGCTGTGGGATGGCAGGACCAGCCTCAGATGTTCCCACGGAGGGATCCTCAGGCCCACGAGGCTTCGGCTTCCTCGAGAACCGCCCAGCCTGCGATGGGGCCCGGGAGGCCCCTGGTGGTCAGGGGGAACCTCATGTGGCCATTCCGTGTCCCCGGCAGCTATGCCCACGCCCTGGATGGCTTGTACCGCGTGGCTCGTGAAGGTGAGGGGCAGGCATGCACAGGTGGGGGGGGCTGGGCACCAGGGGATTTGGGCAGGGCACCTGGCCTCACCCCTGGCCTCACGCCTTCCTCGTGCAGAGGGTCTGAGGAGGCTGTTCTCGGGTGCGACCATGGCATCCAGCCGAGGGGCCTTAGTCACCGTGGGACAGGTAGGTCTCCTGTGTAGGGTGAGCATGGGCGGCATCTGCATCTCTGACCTCCGTCTTCAGAGGGATCACAGCACATGGCAGTAGGCGCCGAGACCCTCCTGGGGAGCCACCAGCTGTGCCCTTGCTGGGGCGGGGTCGGGGGCATGGGAGGGTCAGGGCCGCAGCTGTGAAGGGCCTCGGCAGGTCCCTGTCTGGGCCTCATGGTCGGAAGGGGCAGGTACTTGGCCAGCGTCAGGTAGTGTTGCTTGGGGCCCTGCTGCTTTCCCTGAGCTGGGGACCACCCCGCGGCCCTGACTGTCCCTGTGCCCCTGCAGCTGTCCTGCTATGACCAGGCCAAGCAGCTGGTTCTTAGCACCGGGTACCTGGCTGACAACATCGTCACTCACTTTGTCGCCAGCTTCATTGCGGTAAGTGGTGGGAATGGCTGGGGTGGGTGTCCCTGGGCCGGCCTTGGGAGCTGAGAACACCCGGGCTGGGGTGAGGGCTGTGGGAGGTGGGGGCCTCGGGCAGTTCCTGGGGCTCACAAGTGGGCGCTGCGGCTTTGGGAGCTCGTGGGTTGGCCTGGTGCCCTCGCCAGCATGTTACTGGCCTGCCCAGGAATCAGGTCAAAGGGCTCTTTCGGGACTGGCCTGTGGGTGGGATTTGGCAACGGTGCCAAGGGTACCCAACGGGCCGCTGGTGAAGAGCCCCCTCCCCAGGGCGGATGTGCCACGTTCCTGTGTCAGCCCCTGGACGTGCTGAAGACCCGCCTGATGAACGCCAAGGGGGAATATCAGGTGCGTGGGGTCCCACCTGTGCCCTCCGGCTGCCCAGCCCAGCAAGTCCCCTCACCTCTGCGAGGCGTGGACACTTGCCCTGGGGACCCGGGGAAGGATGCCCCCACCGTGGCCTCCCTTCCAGTTGCCCATCTCTGCACAGCCCTTGGCCTTGGGAGAGGGGTCGTGGCTTTGGGTACCCTTGCCTTGTTTTTCTTTTGAATAACCTTTCTCGGTCTGGCGCAGCGGCCCGTGCCTGTAACCCCAGCACTTTGGGAGCCTGAGGCGGGCAGGTCTCTAGAGTCCAGAAGTTCAAAACCAGCCTCGGCAATATACTGAAACCTCATCTCTACCAAAAGTCAAAAATTAGGTTTGGTGGCGTGTTCCTGTGATCCCAGCCTCTTGGGTGGTTGAGGTTCCGGCTACACAGGAGGCCGAGAGAGGAGAATCCCTGGGCCCAGGAGTCCAGGCCACAGTGAGCCGAGATTGTACCACCGCATCCTAGCCGGGATGACACAGAGTGTTTTTTAAACAAAACAGTTTTGTTTTGTTTTGAGACAGAGTCTCGTTCTGTCGCCCAGGCTGGAGTGCAGTGGGGCAGTCTCAGCTCACTGTAACCTCTCCCTCCAGGGTTCAAGCGATTCTCATGCCTCAGCCACCCAAGAAGCTGGGATTACAGGCGTGTGCCACCACGCTCGGCTAATTTTTATATCTTTAGAGGCAGGATTTCGCCACGTTGGCCTGGCTGGTCTTGAACCCTTGGCCTGAAGTGATCCGCCCACCTCAGCCTCCCAAAGGGCTGGGATTACAGGCGTGAGCCCCCACGCGGCCAGAGCATTTCCTTAGCAGATAAACAGAGGTAGTGCTGCTCACGGCAGTTGGTGCCACACAGTGCTCTGGCCTCCTGCCTTGGGCTCCCGCCAGCTCCGTGGCAATTCCACGTCTGCAGAGCCCGAGCCTGATTCCCGCTCTTCTCCCTGACCCTGCCGTGCCGCGTCCGTGGTTCTCACGGTTCTGTTCACACAGCCCCCTCCACCCCCGGGCCCTGGTTTCACCGCATCAGCAGGCACGCCTGCCGCTGACCTGGCCAGGGCCTGCAGGCCTGTGGTCACCTGACAGCCGCCAGCAGCCGCAGCTCACACCCACCCCCACACCCCATGTTCAGGGTGCACAGGCCGGGGTGCCTGGGAGGGGATTTTCGTGGCCTTGGGGTGAGAGGCAGCCTTTTGTATTGTTTCACTGCATTTTCTGCAGGGCGTTTTCCACTGTGCTGTGGAGACGGCGAAGCTCGGGCCCCTGGCCTTTTACAAGGTGCGGTGGGGGTGGCGGTGGCTCGGGCAGCGGGGACAGGTCCCTTCAGGCTCTGCGTCGCTCATTTCCCGTCTCCTTCCAGGGCCTTGTCCCGGCTGGCATCCGCCTCGTCCCCCACACCGTGCTCACCTTTGTGTTTCTGGAACAGCTTCGCAAAAACTTTGGCATCAAAGTTCCGTCCTGACCGGCCGTGGGAATGGCCGGGCCACCTGGCCAGCAGAGCTAGACCCTTCCAGAGTCCCCAAGTGTCAGCACCACGCCCAGCGCCTGCTCCTGGGGCCAGGCCTCCCTGCAGGCCCCTGCTGTGCCCCCCACCCCAAGCTTGCTGGCTCCTCCTGGCCTCGTCCCCTCCCTGCTTGGGCTCCCAGACTCCCCAGGCTTGGCGCTGGGTGGCCTGGCCTCTCTCCCGCTGGCGGCCCCTCAGGGTAACGGAGGCCACCGGAGGCTGGTTTCCTCCTCGCTCCTGGGCGGGGGGAGGGGTGTCATTCCTGCCTCCTGCCCTGAGGCCCAAAGCAGCATCTTCCAGCACGTTCCATCGAGGACTTCGTGGTGGGGTGTGGCGCCCCCTGGTGGTTGCTCCCCGAAGTGCAAGCCATGCACTGCGTATCCGCGGAGAGGGGCCAGACCTTCCACCTGCTCCGGCAGCTGCTGGGTCCCACCCACGAACAGACCACGCAGACCACGAGCGAGTGCCTGGAGGGAGGGGCCCAGCGTGAGAGGGTTGAGGGCCACCAAGGTCCACGCCCATCCGCCCCGCAGTGGCTTTCACAGTCTTGCCAAGGCCTCTCCGCTCCCCAGCGGGCTGTCTCCGTCTTCGGGGACTGTGCCTGTGTCCCTCGGGCCCTGCGCCCTCCCACTCGGCCCCCTGGGGGAATGGCCCAGCCAGGCTGTGGTCCCGCCTCACGGCCTTCTCCCGGACGTGGAGTCCCGTGGGGTGGCTGCGGCGGCCTCTGCCCTCCTGGTCGCTGGGCTGCACCCGCCTGGGAAGGGGCCTGCTCTGTGGGGGCTGCAATCAATAAATGCGGCGAGCTGCTGCGTCTGTCCCTGCCTGCACCGCCCGCCCGCTGGCCGCCTTGCTGCCCAGTGCAGCGGGACCCCTGCACCCCCGAAGGACGGCAGAATCAATGCCCTTCAGGGAGGAGCCAGAGCCTGGCTGTGCAGTTGGGAGGCCTTTGGGTGGAGGAACTGGGGAAGGAGGGGGAAGGGAATGAGGGATCTCAGCCGGTGTAGAGCTCTGGACCCCATGGCGCGACCCCACCGACACTAAGCACTAATTTTTTTTGAGACAGGATCTGGCCCTGTCATCCAGGCTGGAATGCAGGGATGAAATCTTGGCTCACTGACCTGGGCCTCCTGGGCTCAAACCAGTCTCCTACCTCAGCCTCCCAAGTAGCTGGTGTTATGGGCGTGTACCACCACACCTGGCTAATTTTTGTATGTTTTTGTAGAGCGGGGATCTCACTATGTTACCCAGGCTTGTCTGAAACTCCTGAACTCAAGGGATCTGCCCACCTCGGCCTCCCAAAGAAGCCTCCCCCCACTTTTTTTAAGACAAGGTCTTACTGTGCGGCTCTGGCGGGAGTGGAGTGGCGCAAACAGCCTGTGGTCCCAGCCGCTTGGAAGGCTGACGTGGGAGCGCTTATGCCAAGTTCGGACCGCAGTGAGCTATGATCACACCACTGCACTTCAGCGTGGGTGACAGAATGAGACCCCATTTCAAAAACAGAAAACGTAAATGGCAGGCCGGGTGTGGATGCTCATGCATGTAATCCCAGCACTGTGGGAGGCTGAGGCAAGGTCTCTCGAGCCCAGGAATTCGAGATCAGCTTAGACAGTACGGCGAGACCCCCATCTGTACAGAAAGTTTAAAGATTAGCTGTGTGTGGTAAGCACGCACCTGTAGTCTCAGCTACTTGGGAGGCTGAGGTGGGAGGATTACTTGAGCCCAGAAGATTGAGGCCACAGGGAGCCATCAGTGTGCCATTGCAGTCCAGCCTGGGCTACAGAGCAAGACCCTGTCTCAAGAGAAAAAAAAAAATCTTTGATATACTCAAATATGCATTCAGTGCTCAAACTTCTGAAGGTGAATGCACTGCCAGGTGCATTTTGCGAAGAGCTGGTTTTGTTTGGACAGAGACCAGCAAGAGCTCTGAGGTTTGTACATGGTACCCAGTGCCCAGATTGGAAATTCACAACCAGGGCGGGAGTGGGTAGGTTCTGGGGAAGACTGCTGCTTAAGAAATCAGGTGGTTCAGAAAGGCAGCGCTGGCCAGCAAATCCCAAAAACTGCCCATGCAGGGGCCACATTCTCAGAGCTGCTTTGATGGGAGTGCTGAAGGATGGGCTGTCATGCCAGGGCACCGGGGCCACCCTGGAGGCTGGCATCACTCCCAGCCCCTCCCTGCAGTCAGCCCCACTGGGACAGTACCAGTCAGGGCATGAAGGCGCCCAGTCTGGTTTGGCAGGGCCAGGCCTGGCAGTGGGCCACCACAGGGCAGGGGCAGAGGGCGGGGTGGGAGAGGAGGCCAGTGGGCAGGGCTCCCCACCTACCCTCCACAGAAGCCACAGGGCACAGCCCCTTTGAGGTGGGAGTAGGTCAGAGGGGGTGTCAGTCCTGGGGATTCACAGCCCTTACCCCACAGGCCCTGCAGGCTACCTGGTCCCAAGGCAAGAAGCCAGTCAGTTTCACGCTTGGGCCCCAGGACCGATCTGGACCCTGCTGAGTCAGCATTTCATCACTCGCCTGCTGAGTCAGCAGTCACCTGCATTTTTTTTTTTTTTTTTTTCCTTTTGCATGAAGTCTCCCTCTGTCACCCAGGCTGGAGTGCAGTGGCACGGTCTTGGCTCCCTGCAGCCTCTACTTTCTGGGTTCAAGCAATTTTCAAGCCTCAGCCTCCTGAGTAGCTGGGCCCACAGGTGCATGCCACCAAGCCTGGCTAAATTTTGTATTTCTAGTAGAAACGCGGCTTCACCATGTAGGCCAGGCTGGTCTCGAACTCCTGACCTCAAATGATCCCTTTGCTTTGGCCTCCTAAAAGTGCTGGAATTATAGGTATGAGCCACCGCACTGGGCTTCCATGCATTTTTTGTTAAAGTACATGGACTTTGTAATTTACAAAAAGTTACACAATAATCATTTAACGTCGAGAAATTTCAACAAGGATGCCAAGACAATTCATTGGGGAAAGACTGTCGGCTGGGCACGGTGGCTCACAGCTGTAATCCCAGCACCTGGGGAGGCCGAGGCAGGTGGATCTTGAGGTCAGGAGATCCAGACCATCCTCGCTAACATGATGAAACCCTGTCTCTACTAAAAATACAAAAAAATTAGCCAGGTGTCAGATGGTATATGCCTATAGTCCCAGCTACGTGAGAGGCTGAGGCATGAGAATCGCTTGACCTGGGAGGCAGAGGTTGCAGTGAGTTGAGATGGTGCCACTGCACTTCGGCCTGGGCGACAGTGCGATAATCCATCACAAAACAAAAGAAAAGTAAAAAGTCTATTAGCCGGGCACGGTGGCTCATGCCTGTAATCCCAGCGCTTTGGGAGGCTGAGGCAGGTGGATCACCTGAGGTCAGGAGTTCAAGACCAGTCTGGCCAAAATGGTAAAACACCATCTCTACCAAAAATACAAATATTAGGCCGAGCACAGTGGCTCATGCCTGTAATCCCAGCACCTTTGAAGGCCAAGGTGGGTGGATCATGAGGTCAGGAGTTTGAGACCAGCCTGACCAACATGGTGAAACACCATTTCTGCTAAAAATATAAAAATTAGCTGGGCGTGGTGGCACACACCTGTAATCCCAGCTACTCAGGAGGCTGAGACAGGAGAATCGAGACACACACACACACACACGCCGGGTATGGAGGTGCACCCTGTAATCCCAGCTATTCAGGAGGCTGAAGCAGGAGAATTACTTGAACCCAGGAGGCAGAGGTTGCAGTGAGCTGAGATCACACCGTTGCACTCCAGCCTGGTGACGGAGAGTCCATCTCAAAAATTAAATAATTAAGAACAGTGCTTGGACCCCCCAGTCTGTAGCAACCAGTCCAGGAAGCCAAATGGCAGTTCCTGCAGCCGTTGGCCCAGACCCGGTTAATAAGTGCCCTGAGTTTTTCTCTTCCCCTTCCCCTCCCATTTCCCTTCCCTTCCGTTTCATTTCCCTTCCCTCCATTTCTCTTCATTTCCCTTCCTCCCCTTCCGTTTTCCTGTTTCCTGTTTCAGTATTTTTCGTGGGCACTGAACATTCACACATACCTGCCCTAAAACTAAGAAGAAAACGGGCAAATATTCGTGATCTCAGATTTGGCAAAGGATTCTTAGATTTGACTCCAAAAGCAAGAACAACAAAATAAAAAATAGACAAATTGTGATTCTGTGAGGCCAGATGCAGTGGCTCACACCTATGATCCCAGCATTTTAGGGGGCTAAGGCAGATGGATCACCTGAGGTCAGGAGTTCAAGACCAGCCTGGCCAACATAGCGAAACTCGGTCTCTACTAAAAATACAAAAATATTAGGTGTGGTGGAGCACACCTATAGTCCCAGCTACTCAGGAGGCTGAGGCAGGAGAATCGCTTGAACACTGGAGGCAAAGGTTGCAGTGAGCCAAGACTGCACCACTGCACTTCAGCCTGGGCAACAAGAGCAAAACTCTGTCTCAAAAAACAAACCAAAAACTCTGCTTCAGAGGACACTATGACACTCCCAGGAAAGTGGGAGACTGCACACGTAACGGGAAGAAATATCTGTAAGTCGTATCAGATACTACAACCTACAATATATAAGAAAATTCTTACAACAAGAAAGAATTTTCTTAATGGCACAGGATGGCCAATAAACACATGAAAAACCACTCAACATTATCAGTTATTAAGGAAATGCAAATCAGAACCATCATGAGATGCCACACCATCCACTAGCCTGGCTGGGTGGAGGGGCTCACACCTGACATGCCAGCACTTTGGGAGGCTGGGGCGAGAGGATCACCTGAGGTCAGAAGTTCAAGACCAGCCTGATCAGCATGGAGAAACCTGATCTCTACTAAAAATACAAAAGTAGCTGGGTGTGGTGGCGCATACCATAATCCCAGCTACTCAGGAGGCTAAGGCAGGAGAATCGCTTGAACCCGGGAGGTGGAGGTCGCAGTGAGCCGAAATTGCACCACTGCACTCCAACCTGGGTGACAGAGCAAGACTCTGCATCAAAAAAATGAGAGAAAAATATATCAAACGGATGGAAATTGACAAACGGTGAGGATGTGGAGAAATCAAAACCGTCAAGCGCTGCTGGGAATCGAAGGTGGTGGGGCCGCTGTGGAAGAGTCTGGCAGTTCTTCAAAGTGTTAAATAGAGTGACCATCAAACCCAGTAATTCCATGCCTCTGTACATACCCAAGAGGAAAGAAAACGTGTATTTATAGAAACTTGTACACAAATGGAGATCAGCATGGTGGTGCGTCCCAACTACCCAGGAGCCTGAAGTGGGAGGATTGCTTGAGCTCAGTAGTTCAAGGCCAGCCTGCACAAGTTAGTCAGACTCCATCACTCCATCTTTACAGGCTGGAGTGCAGTGGTGTAATCTCAGCTCACTGCAACCTCCACCTCCCGCGTTCAAGCAATTCTCTTGCCTCAGGCTCCAGAGCAGCTGGGATTAAAGGTGCCTGCCACCACACCTGGCTAATTTTTTGTATTTTTAGCAGCGACGGGGTTTCACTATGTTAGCCACGCTGGTCTTGAACTCCTAACCTCGTGACCCACTTGCCTCGGCCTCCCAAAGTGCTGATTACAGGTGTGAGCCACCAAGCCTGGCCCAACAATTTTTTTAAAAAATTAGCCGGGTGTGGTAGTGCATGCCTGTGGTCCCAGCTATTTGGGAGGCTGAGTTGGGAGGATCACTTGATCCCAGGAGGTGGAGGCTGCAGTGAGCTAAGATTGCACCACTGCACTCCAGCCTGGGCAACAGAGTGAGATCCTGTCTCAATAAACAAATAAAGAAATAAAACAGCCGGGCGCGGTGGCTCAAGCCTGTAATCCCAGC